CTCTGTAATTACCTACCTCATATAAAAATCGACTACTTTTATCATCATCAAATGAAGGCCACTCAGGCAAGTCGCTATCATTGTGGAACCTCCTTAACTTATCCGTATCTCCCGTAGACTTAGTCCCTAGAGAAGAGAGATAAATTCAAAACAATTAATAAAGTAGATTACAAACAATTCAAGAAAACTGTTTGTTACTTATAAACGATTTTCACCTACCTTTAAGTCTGGCGATAACACAAGTGTGTTTCAGAGTGTTGAAGCTTCTTTCGTAAAGCTCAGTCTGGAAAGTAACAAGGGACTGTGTAGCTGGATCCTCTGCAAGCGAAGTTATATAATAACGGGCAGGCATGTACATACCCTCTCTATTGTATTTCTCTATTTCGTGAAGCTGCAGATTGGTCCCCTGTATGTGAGAGAAGAGATAAAAATAAAATAAAAGCACATAAGATGAGATGGAGGAGGAGACTTTGACCTCTAAAATATATATATATATATTTTTTTTTGGTAAAAAAACTTTTACCTCTAACATATTGTACCGGTGAAGGCCGAGCTTTGCGTAAAGCTGCACTTCAATGGGACAATCTTCCCCTCCTTTGAAAGCATGCATTCCCCAATAACGATGATCCCTCAGTTCACCCATATCGAACCCCTACGGATATAATCAAATAAAATTAAATAAAATCAAACTGAAAAGTAATAAATAAAAAGGAAATAATAATAATAATTACATCTGTTTCCCACACTTTACGCCAAAGCTCAGCCGTCTCCTTATGACGAGCATCTTCTCTCTTTCGGATAATCTCCTTCTTAGACTTACGAAGAGACTTACGAAGAGACTTTATCTTCTTCGCCCAGAGCCCATATGAACGTCTCCGCGCATGATACTTACTACCAACAACCATCAGCTTCTTCTTTCTCCACTGTCCACCCATTCTCTCGCCCAAAATCACTTTGTCTCCCCCCTCCAGCTTATATGATCTTTAATACTCTCTCCTAATTTATTATATTTATGCCGCCTGAACTACTGGCCCTGATTTCATTTATGTTACGCTGAGTGGACCCTACGATTATCTTTGGCAACCTTTTACATTGATCGTATTTCAAATTTAATATTGTCTAAATATTTGGTTCGTCTTATGTTCCTTCTTTACCTAATAACTAGTTGTTTTACCCGCACTTATAGGTTTAATAATTTTCTAATATCTATAAACAAATATAATCAATTTAAGTAATATCTAATAAATTATTGTATATACATTCAAAATATTTAATAATAACCTAAACAAATTATTTCTATATATAAAAAATTTCATCATCATATAAATAATTGTCATTCCACAAATAAAATTTGAAAATACTCATAAATTTAAAATATTTAATAATAAATTAATATCATTTTCAGACATAACAAAAAAATATAATAAAATGATCTTTAGTAATGCAAAACTATCTATACATAAATTCTTTACAAATTATTTTTTCATAATTAAATATATATTAACAAATAAAATTATTTTCAAGGTTAATAAAAACTTATAACACAATATAAAAAATTAGATAATGATAATTATCAAATTCATGAATTTTTTTTTAATTTAGAATTAATTATATATTAACAAATATAATTATTTTAAATATAATTATTTTCAATGTTGATAGAGACATAATATAAAAAGAAATAAATAAGGATGATTATCAAATAAATGAAATTCGTTTTTAATTTATAATTAATGATATATTACTAAAAATATAATTATATTTCAAGGTTAATAAAGATTTTATAACCCAATATAAAATAGTTTTAGATAAAAATAAATCTAAAATCATTGAAATTCGTTTTTTACTTATGTTTAATTATATATTGAAATTTTTACTACCCTTAATGACAAAGTAAACATAAACTTAATGACTAATTAGATTTATTACTATATAATGAATAATTAGATTTATTATAATCATTAGTCTAGATAATGATAATCATCAAATCATAAAAAACATGACAAATAAGATTTGTTTCTAATTATCTATACTATTATTTAAGAAGTAAATTTTCTTAGTTGTCAACTTCTCCTTGATTTTAGGTAAATTTTTTTATTTATCTTATTTAAATAATTTCATATAAAATTTATTATTTAATAAAAACGAATTTATATTAATACTCTTATATATTTTACAATAAGATAATTCTTATGAATTATGTTGTTATCTTGAAATATATTTTTATATATAAAACTTAAATTTTAAATTAAGATATAAACACTATTATATTTATCTACAACGAATTTATATTAATAACTTAGTATTTAAATATAATTAAAACGAATTTATATTCATAATTTAATATTTTCTAAAATTAATATATAAAAATTATATTATTAATAATTAAAACGAAGTTCTATTAATAATATTATACTTTTAGAAAATAAGATAATTCTTATGTATTATATTGTTATCTTAAAAATATTTTTTTATCATAGAAATCAAAATTAAGTTAAAATATTAATAGTTAAATATAAAAAGGCAATACTGATTTATCAATTTCTCCATGGTTTTACACTTTGCTTATTTATCATATTTTAATAATTTCATATATAATTTATTAAATAATAAAATGAATGTATATAATAATACTAGATTTAAAAAAAAAAAAGATAATTCTCATTTATTAGATTGTTATCTTGAACATATATTTTCTATTAGAAAATTTAAGTGAATTATCTGATTTGTAATTTCTCCATGATTTAGATAATTTTGATTATTTGTCATATTTTTAATAATTGCATATAAAATTTATTATAAAATAAAAACGAATTTCTATGAAAAATTATATTTTGATAAAATAAGATACTTCTTATGTATTATATTGTCATTTTGAAAATATATATTTTATTATAGAAATAAAAAATTAAGATAGAAAAATTATAATGAAAATAAATTAAAGCAACACATTTTTAAAAATATATTTGATAAAATATGTTTATTATGTGAGTGTTGTCATTTAATTAATTTAAAACATAAATCATAACTTATTATTTTGGTTTGAATTAATAAAATATAGATTAATAATAAATTATATGAAAATTATGCCCGCATATGCGGGCAAAACACCTAGTTATATAGTAATATATCTTATTAGTCATTATATAGTAATAAATCCAATTAGTCATTAAGTTTATGTTTGCTTTGTCATTAAAGGTAGTAAATCTAATTAATATACGGTTCATAATTATATAATAATAATTTTATTTAGTCATTAATTAAGGATAATAATTAATCATTAGTCAAAATCATAAAAACATGATAAATAAATATAATTACAAAAAATTATGGAGAATATGATAAATCAGCAAATTCACTTTTTAAAATATAATTAATTTATTATTACTTATATATTAATTCAGTTTTAGTTTATGGTTTATTAATATCAACTATTTTTAGATAATAACAGTCATCAAATCAAATCAGTGAAATTTGTTTCTAATTTATGGTTGATTATATATTAATTAAATGTATATTTTTCTGATAACAACACAATATATAGAAATTATCTTTTTATTTTTTTTTTAAATATATAATAATTAATGTCTCTCTGCCATATTATTATTACCGTATTTACATTTTTATTCACTTTTATTTGTTGCGTGTATATATCATCTTTCAAAACTGGAAAGACGTGGATAAATGAAATATATGGCTAGCTTCTACAATTACTGATTGCTATATTTTTAATATAGCATTTATTTTGGTCATCAACCTAATTAACCCCATAAAGATTAGATTATTTTTCTTTAATATTTCTCATGAAATCTGATTTTCAAACACTTAATAAAATAGCGATTATTGTCTTTTAATTAATGTGCACAATGCATCTTAATCTCGATCTCGGCGTTTGGAAGAAACAAACGAATTAATTTTATCCAAGAAGCTTTAAAATTAATATAAAATTAAGGCTTTGACAAATATCATAAGTCCAAATTATCTCACATCTGCATGTTCGACGCGATGCTTTACGTAGAATCCAAGAGTCCCGCCGAGAAGTGTTTTTTTTTTTTTTGAGAAAGGGCTCCGCCGAGAAGTGTTCCGGCTATGATCCGTGCGTAACCCCATCAATGTCATCGAGCTCAACTCCATTTTCCTCCCTTCCTTCGATTACAGTTTAGGACTAATGTATGATCGTCGTTTTCATTTACCGGAACCAGATTAAAGAACGTACCTAGTGGTTCAATTCTATATCACGGATCGGTTTTATGGTATGTGTGTCGTCAAACCGAGCTTAATCATGTCCGGTTCAGATTCAGAATAATTAATTAAGAAATACTGTATTGGTCTAGTTATTTACCGGAACCAAATAAACAGAGAAGAAAAATAATTATGGTGGTTTATTTCACATTCAGTTATTGACCGCGGTTTGATTTCGTACTACGAACCGGTTATTTCGGTACGCTTTCATAGACAAATATGCAGAGGCGGACCCACATGTTAGGTTGTGGGGTCATTTGACCCTACAAAAAAATGATAATACGTTAATATTGTATTGATATTACGAAGGAATCAGTAGCTCAGTTGGTAAAACCTGTTGTCTGACCTCCCCTAAACCACGGTTCGAACTATCAGTGACACATTTTTTGTTTTTTGGCCCCAGTCCAATATTTTCCTAGGACCCCTCCCCTGCAAATTTGTAAACGTAAGGCAAACTAAGCGTGTCAGATGCAATCAACCATTCGGTTCAACGAAGGAATCAGTAGCTCAGTTGGTAAAACCTGTTGTCTGACCTCCCCTAAACCACGGTTCGAACTATCAGTGACACATTTTTTGTTTTTTGGCCCCAGTCCAATATTTTCCTAGGACCCCTCCCCTGCAAATTTGTAAACGTAAGGCAAACTAAGCGTGTCAGATGCAATCAACCATTCGGTTCAACGAAAAATTCTGAAACCAGTGCCAAGCGATCGCTTCCCAGTTCCCGCAAAACCAAAGCCGAACAAGTCTAAAACATTAGGTCATTGTGCTAGTAACAGAACCATCGAGTTAGTAGCAAAACTTACTTGACAAGGAAGGCCTCTAGTTCTGCAGAGGACATAAATGGGAAGTGTATCAAGAACTCTTGCAGGTGCAACACCATCTATCCGAGTACCTGAACCAGACACATATATCTGTGTTTCAATTAATTCATCTTATCAATTCTAAATTTGGTTTTGTTTATAAATGTTCTACCAGAGGTAATCAACCGTTCCAAGGAATTCGGAGTGGTATGAGGTTGCTAGAGGTTCACCAACAGAGTGAGTCCCTAGTGTTTGTTGAACCCTGGCGATAATAACCTGTTTTATCTCACTATTTCTTGTCATGTATAGAGACACACAGTAAAGTTAATTCGTTGGTCCAAGAGCTAATTAAGCATCCGAAACCAATGAGTATTAAAAACTGTTTTAAAGCTTTCAATATACGTAATTATGAGACAGAGACCTCATCCCATATTTCTCAAGGTTAGACACTAAATAACCATTGCCTGCTGAACCTGATCAAATCTTTAAGAGAATGAGCTTACCTGCTAATGGAAGTTACTGTATTACTTACTAGGTTTGCTTCCGGTCCCAAGAACTTGGTTTGGAAGACGATATCTCTGGCCAGACAGCTCCTTTTTGTCAGGTTTCATGATATTCAGCTGTTATTTAGAAACATTATCAGAACTAGAAACCATAACCGGGCATATGAGTAGCTTTACTGTATCAAGACTGGAAATGTTCATACCTCCAAGAAGTTTACAATCGACTCTGCATAAAGATGATTTTATATGATTCCATGTAGTAATCAAAACATCATTTTAAGTAGCATTAATCTAAAAACCATAATGATTTTATAATATAATAACTTAGAACTCAATGATAAATAAAAAAATGCAAGTTCAGTGTTATTAAGCAAATAATAGAATTCAGATCAAATGCTGCTAACGTCCATTTTATCGTCATTCAAACGTGTGTAAAACGGTTTAACCTCTTTTGGGTAGCTATGTATACTAGAATAGAACCCTTGTAGATCTCATCAGTTATGTAACTGCAACATTGAATAGTGGACACAAAATTTCAGCAGCTGATCTTGAAACAAAGACTTAACAAAGCAAAAGAGGAGACCTGAGATGCTCCTCTGTTAAAGCAACGCCCCATTCAGGCTTGGTTACGAATGTTCTATCTAAAACGAAGTTTAATTTTCACTCAAATAAGCAAATCCTGTTTGTGGACAAATAGAGGTTCTTGAAATATGAAAACAAAAAACACATAACAAATAGCATATGTTATAAACTCCTTGCTAAGTTAAGAGTGTTATTATTATTAAAAGTTTTTTCTTAGGGAATCGGTAGAGTGTAGCCAACGAGACAGAAGCATTTAGATATCAAATCCACAGTTCTTCTAACGATGGCTCTGCGTTTGCATACCCCATTATCACCTCCCACGTCCTCATCATAAGTTATGTAGACTACGACACTTCTAAAACACTTGAGTAGAGTCTCTTTGGGCAGATTTTCTTCAGTTTCTACCACCACGTTCAAAATCTTCAAACCGGACAGGTTGGGCTGTAACAACCGAAACAGATTTATATATATATACATACCCAAAACAAGAAAGAAAACACACTTTATAAGACTCAAAAAACAAGAAAACCAACATTGTCATTTTGCCTATCCGTGGTAACGACAGCAACTTCCAAGTATAGACCAATCCAGTCGTTTTCTTCCCACTCAGATTCCAGCACCTGCGGAAGCAAAAACAACATGTGTGCCAATGAAATGAAAGCATCATCGTCTTACTACCTTAACCATGAATTCTCTCTGTAATTACCTACCTCATATAAAAATCGACTACATTTATCATCATCAAATGAAGGCCACTTAGGCAAGTCCCTATCATCGTGGAAATGATCCACATTTTCCGTAGACTTAGTCCCTAGAGAAGAGAGATAAATTCAAAACAATTAATAAAGTAGATTACAAACAAACTGTTTGTTACTTATAAACGATTTTCACCTACCTTTAAGTCTGGCGATAACACAAGTGTGTTTCAGAGTGTTGCAGCTTCTTTCGTAAAGCTCAGTCTGGAAAGTAACAAGCGACTGTGTAGCTGGATCCTCTGCAAGCGAAGTTATATAATAGCGGGCAGGCATGAAGTTACCCTCTCTATTGTATTTCTCTATTTCGTGAAGCTGCAGATTGGTCCCCTGTATATGAGACAAGAGATAAAATTAAAATAAAAACACATGGAGGAGACTTTGACCTCTAAAATATATTCCTTTTTTTTTTTGGTAAAAAAACTTTTACCTCTAACATATTGTACCGGTGAAGGCCGAGCTTTGCGTAAAGCTGCACTTCAATGGGACAATCTTCCCCTCCTTCGAAAGCATGCATGCCCCAATAACGATGATCCCTCAGTTCACCCATATCGAACCCCTACGGATATCATCATATCAAAATCAAATAAAATCAAATTGAAAAGTAATTAAGAAAAAGGAAATAATAATAATAATTACATCTGTTTCCCACACTTTCCGCCAAAGCTCAGCCGTCTCCTTATGAAGAGCAACTTCTCTTTTTCGGATACTCTCCTCCTTAGACTTACGAAGAGACTTTATCTTCTTTTCCCAGAGTCCATATGAACGTCTCCGCACACGGTACTCACTATCAACAACCACCAGCTCATCCTGCTTAGCCTCCTTCTTCTTTCTCCACCGTCCTCCACCCATTCTCTCGCCCAAAATCACTTTGTCTCCCCCCTCCAGCTTATATGCTCTCTTTAATACTCCGCCCTAATTTATTATAGTTATTTATGGGCCGCCTAAACTACTGGGCCCTGATTTCATTTATTTGAGCAGTCCTAATTCCGAGGTCCAAACCTCTCTTATTTGATTCAAAAAAAAACTTAAAAGTAATGACCGAACCAAACCAAACCGAATTTATAAACTAAATTAGTCGACCGGAACCGAACGGAACCTATTTGAAATAAAACCGAGCCGAACCAGAGAATCCAAATCGAATTTACTATATATAAACCGAGCCGAACCAGAGAATCCAAATCTGGTTTATATAAATCGAATCGAAGCTTTTCGAAATAACCGCCGCCACTTTCTAACTCTCTCTGCCGCTTCTGTTAGTCTCTCTCGACTCTTATCCTTACGAACTGAACCTCTCTGATGTTCTTCTCTTTCCTCTGGAGGCAATTCGTATAAAAGTGCTTACGATCTAAGATTCTATTGTTGTTTTATCTTTGATTGATATAGTTCTCATCTCCAACCCTATGGGATTGCCCTTCCTTACTCAAAACCCAAGGTTCTGTGCCAAGGTAAACGTTTTCATGAAGAGCTATTGGCATACGCAAACACTATACATACCAGAGTGGCTGTGGGAGAAACGACAGGAGAATAAGGTATATACTTATCTGAATTGTTTGGTTAATCACTGTTAATTTTTTTTTTTTTTGAATAATGAATCAAATTGTAGATTTTATACTATGTTTTGATCCATGTTGCAGTTAATTTCAGGAGAACTATCATTTGGTCATCGTAAGTTCATTAAAGACAAGAAGATCCATTTGTTTCCTGCCATCCACTCACCGGACTTAACTTAAGAAGTTTTATCTCTATGATTACTATTCTAATAGGTAGTTTTGGCCTTAATGTTTGCATATATACATGTCATGCTTATTTGTAATTGAAAGTATCATCTCGGTTCACCATTAGTCATTGCCTTGTTCAGATACAGAAGTAAAATAACTGACGCGTATTATTTACATTAATGCAAAACAGAACAAGTTGGCAAGAACCATGCATAGTGTTTGCGGCTTGGCCCTTCTGTCCAACTTCTTCAGCGTTGGCGGTGGAGATCCAAAATCATTACTTGTTCTTGAGGTTTTTTAATCTATTCCTCTCTTCCTTAGATGATCCAATGTGAATCTCTAGTCTAAATATCTAATGAAAAATATACTTTTCCCCTTCAGACCAATCTCTATGAAGATTCTCCAATGTTCATTTCTTTCTGGAACTAGGTAAAGATCTTGCCTGTCTGTATAACTGTAACTTGCTTGTCAACATTGCTCAATACTATTAAGTTCTTCTGCAGGTTGCAGAAGCTCCCAACACTTCTTTCCCTTTTGAAGCCAAAGATTGTTATGGTAACGATTCAATTCCTATGCTTTGTTGACTCTGTCTGTATTCCACAATCTGATAGCATTTTGTAAACAGGTCCATTGATGTTGTCAACCAGAGGATCAATCTTTCTGCTATGAACACAAAATCTATCATGAGTTACTCTGAGAATAGGACGCTAAGTATGGCAAGAATTGCAGACAATGCAGACGTGGAGATAATGGCAGAGTTAGCCCACCAAATTGAGCTAGAAAATACTCAGACAACGTGAGAACTTTGGTATTGTAAGGTTGAAAGGTGAACTTTTGTGATGGAAAATGGGAAACAGAGATTGGTTTTCGGGTTGGATCAGGAAGAAAGATCAGGAAAGGCATTGGGGCTCTGTGGCTCGTGAAACACTTCTAGACGCGTTAATGAAGATTAGCTCCCTTTTGTCCGATCCATGTTTGTTTTCAATTTCGCTTTTCTTTTATCTGCTTGATTCGTATGGATATGAAGTTGAGAGTTTGATTAAAAGTTGATGAATTTCTACTCTCTTCCTACGTAATTAGGGATTAGAAATGCATATGTATAGGGTATCTGTTCTTATGTACTAGTTTATGCCATGTTGTATTTGTCTTGAATTGAGATGGGAACTTTTTACGTGGAGAAGATGTAGTAGAGAATACAATCACAGAAGAAGCTTCTTCAGTGGTGGAGCCTTTCATTGGTATGGAGTTTGAATCAGAAGAAGCTGCAAAGTCTTTATATGGTATTGAGTGTAATCAAACTTTTCAGGACGAGAAAGATACAAAGATTAGGGAACTTAGCACAGAGCTGAGCAGAGAGAGACAAAGCGTTGTGCTGCGTTGCAAGAACAGCTTGATATGCTCCTAAAGGTGATGGAAGAACATACTAATCATCTCTCCATTAGCATCAACAATGTTATCCAAAATGTAAGAGAAATAGAGTCAGAAACTTTCACAAAACCCCTCAGTTGAATAAAACAACACACACAAAATTTAAAAGACTAGAATTCAAATAAGAAACATAGAAATCACAAAACAGCATACAAAATATAACCAAACACACTAGAAGGTTTCATCTCTTTCTTTTTTTCCCCTTTCCTTTTTTCTCCGAGTTTGCCGATTCAGACATGAGCAGAGGACGTACAAAATCATAGATGAGGCCCGTTGGCTTACTAAGGGCTAAAGGTGTGCCACCTCCTATACCTTGGTTAATGCCAAATGTTGAATCACCACGCCCAGCAGCAAAGTGGTGACCCATAACCATCGTCTCAGCAGACACTAGAACGTACCCTTTGTCGTGGCACTCTGTTCCATGGCTAGACTTGCACCAGAATACAAGCTCCCCATTCAGTAAGAACGCATCTACAATGGTCATCCCGTGAAGACCCTCGTACCGAGAATTGTCGCTCGTGGGTCCACGGTAGATTTCCTGCCATAAAATAATCATTTAAAATCAAAACAAAAATCTATAAAACTATATATTGATATTGAAATTTATTTACCCCTTTTCGAATTTTCCAGTAGTCTGAAAATATAACCAAGGTTGCTCCTATAGGCTGCTTCTCAAGACTCTTCAAAGCTTGAGGTAAATCATTACCCATAAAGCGAAAACCTGCTATCTTAATCTTCTTCTCGTTTCTTCCTTTGGGTTGATCTGTTACGCAGTTAAAGGAATCTCCTCCAGCCCCTCGTTGCACTGTCACTCCATGATCTCTTATATATTCCAGGCCAGATGTCAATTGGTGAGTATGACACTTGTGTCTCTTTGCAGCTTGAAGTGAGCGAAGATGAGGAGATGCAAAAAAACACAATTCCTTGACACTCAAAGTCACAAAACCTCCATCCAAACCTTCTATGACTCTGAGAGCGCTCACTAGATTGACACAGACATAAGCCCAGCATAATTCTGCATAGTGCAAACACAGAATCAATAATTTAATAATGATAAATTGAGAGTTTGAATTGAACAAATTTCGGAAAAAAGTAAAGAAGACTTACCATGATTACCTTGGTCTCGGACATCTCCTACCACATTAACTTCTTCTTTTGAACGGATAGGTCCTTTCTTCTTCTTATCTTCCTCAGAAAGCGCAACCCATTGTCTATTGACTCTTGTAACTCCATCGCTCCAGTTGGGAGACTGAAAATCAAAGTTAAAAGAATTAAGAAAAGGGATAAAAATGGGAACAATCGACAATTAAAAAACTTACCCTTTTGGGAGATCTCCATCTCAATAATTGGTTTTCTAAAATGGTATTTCCATCTCCTTTACGGAATCTTTCAAACCAACAGGAAATTGCAGGAAGAGGATGCGCTTCATTTTTGTAGCACACGTCATACAGCTTTTGGCCAAAGATATTATTCAGAGCAGCGGGAGTCAAAGCATGATTCGGAAAGGCACGGACACGTCTTCTTACGGTCTCATCACGACTCTCAACTGTCTTCTTGTTACGACGTTTTCCCCCGGCTGAATGCAACTCCGGCTTACTAAACAATTTTGATAGTGAAGTATCCCAACAACAAACTTCGCTATGGGAACCACCAGCTTCATGAGAGAATATGTTTCCATCACCACAGACATGGTGAGAAAACCAGCAGTCCTTTTCAAAAGGACAATATCCTTGTGCAAAAAATTTGCACGGAGCCTTCTTTGTCACGGGTCTTGTATGCTTCCCATCATCTTGCATGTACTCATTTTGACTCTCACAAGGCTCAAGAACACTCTTTCCCTGCACAGATGGTCCAAAACGAATTGAGATTTAAGACATGGAAGTAGTTAACATTCCCTCTAGCTAGTAATGCTAACTACATCCACATACGATTGACATAAAAGACAAGATATACGTCCACCTAGTTGCATTTTGTAAAACCACATTACCTTTAACGTTAACAAGAGACGTTTGCTGTAAACATTCCCAACTTCCATCCTCAGAGGATTCTTTGCCAATAATGGATACTGTGCTTCATTTTCCAAGCAATCCAAGAAGAAAGGTGGCTCGTTTAAGTCTGTTTAAAGAACATCAAAGATAAGTGAGGATACAGTTAAAAGGAATCTCAAAATCGTTTGTGTAGAATACCTTTCTCAATCAGTAGGTGAGATTCAGCAGCCATAGGCATTAGCTTCTTCATATCTGTTTCAAAATCATGCGGCAAATATCATTCTGTATACTAGTAGAAATTGAGCTACATCTATCTCTAGGAAATTTCAGATGAGCGTCTTACATTCATCGTCGAGATAGAAGAGGCCTCTGTTGAACATAGCAGTAGCAAGAAAATTCCTAGTCTATTTTAACAAAAGGAAGACCAAAACAAAACAAAATATAGTCAGAAACACTGATGATTTTCAGATTAAGCAACAAAAAGTTAATATCACAACGCAGAATCAAGAGACGGATCTTCGATCCATCCTAATCAACAACAAAAAACAAAAAGCTCGATGATGTCTCTTTACTCACCAAAAGGAGCGAGTCATGTTCTGTGACCTCAGCTTCCGTGTGAGCGACTACGTGAGGATGAAGGAAAATCGAGACTAAATCGCTCTGTTCTCCCTGCAAATGAAGTGAAGGAGACAAAACCTTGATCGGTAAAGACAAACAATGTCGGTAACCAGGATTGAACGAGAAACTTTCGTTTATCGTTTTGCAAAAAAAAAAAAGGTAAAATAGAAAGGGAAAAGCTCGATCGGTAATGTGCTTACCAGAGGGAGCGAAGACTGTCCGGTGTCGTCAGCTTCCTTCAACTTCAGTGAGACGACCTGAGGAAGATAAAATACGATATACTGAATGAGATTACGAGAACAGAAACAGAGCAAAAAGCTACGAAAATAACTTGTACGAGAAGACAACGAACTGAAAGCTACTCGTATGTACTGGAAGGGAGGAATACCCATGAATGGTGGTTACAATATTCATTACCTTATCTGGCATTCTATCACAGGTCCTCATCAACTGACCAAGCGTGGGAACCCTTTTGAAAGTTGAACTCCTAATTTGAGTACAATCATGAAAAATTGTAAAGCTTAGACACATGAAAAGGTCAAAGTAGGAAATAAATATCTCAATAGTACATACCTCAGTTGATTTAAGGTAACATTCCCAACTTCCATCCTCAGAGGATTCTTTGCCAATAATGGAGAATGTGCTTCATTTTCTAAGCAACCCAAGAAGAAAGGTGGCTCGTAATCTTGTGGCTGCAAAGCATTCAATTTCGACAGTGAAATAAGATGAACGGTATTGACGTTGCTATGAAAGAACTAAAGCGTAAACTTGTATGAGAAGGACAACGAACTGAAAGCTACTTGTATGTACTTGAAGGGAGATATACCCATGAATGGTGGTTACAATATTCATTACCTGATCTGGCATTTTGTCACAGGTCCTCATCAACTCACCAAGCGTGGGAACCCTTTTGAAAGTTGAACTCCTAATTTCAGTACAATCATGAAAAATTTTAAAGCCTAGACACATGAAAAGCTCAAAGTAGGAACTAAATATCTCAATAGTACATACCTCAGTTGATTTAAGACAATATCTGCGGTGGATTTAAAAGTCCCTCCATGACTCTCGTTGATGTTCAACATGACAGTTTGGCTGTTAGCATATGAATCTCTGGAAGAATCTGCAGAAACACAGTCGTTTCATTAATAAATAATGGATGTATAACCAAACAGGTGACATATATATCAATCATCTACCCACAGCTTACATGTGTATTCCTCATCTACGGTTTCACATGTGCAGAATATGAAGTAGTTCCTCGGCAATCCACTGTAGACACCTATTATACCATCATGAGAAAAATTAAAGAACATCAGAGAAAGTGAGGATACAGTCAACAGGAATCTCAAAATCGTTTGTGTAGAAAACCTTTCTCAGATTCAGCATCCATAGACATTAGCTTCATATCTTTTTCAAAATCATGGCCTCTGTTGAACATAGCTGCAGTGTCGAGATAACTCCTAGTCTTTTTTAACAAAAGGAAGACCAAAACAAAACAAAACAAAAATAGTCAGAAACACTGATGATTTTCAGATTAAGCAACAAAAAGTTAATATCACAACGCAGAATCAAGAGACGGATCTTCGATCCATCCTAATCAACAAACGACAAAAAAAAAAACTAAAAGCTAGAAGACGTCGTTTTACTCACCAGAAGAAGCGAGTCATGTTCTGTAACCTCAGCTTCCGTGTGAGCGACTACGTGACGTGACCTAAAAATCGAGACTAAATCGCTCGGTTCTCCCTGAAAATGAAGTGAAGGAGACAAAACATTGATCAGTAAAGACAAACTAGGTCAATAACCAGGATCGAACGAGAAACTTTCGTTTATCGTACGTTTTCCAAAAAAAAAAAAAAAAAAAAAAACAGGGAAAGCTCGATCGATGATGTGCTTACCAGAAGGAGCGAGGACTGTCCGGTGTCTTCAGCTTCCTTCAGCTTCAGGGAGACGACCTGAGGAAGATAAAATACGATATACTGAATGAGTTTACGAGAACAGAAACAGAGCAAAAAGCTACGAAAATAACTTGGAGAGAGTATAAACGCTTTTTTTTTGGTCTCGTATAAACGCGTCTTCTTCTCACCATTTTTGCAGAGGAACGAAACGAACAATGTGTTCAACTTTCTCAGAGAAAGGAGAGAGAAAAGAGTGAGACAAAAGACGAGAGAAAAACGATATGAAAATTTTAAGCGTCGTCGAGAGCTGCTTTATGCAGAAGGATATAGGGGCACAGTTGGTGGTGAGAGAAAATAGTAGGGGTAGTATCGACTAATTTCATCCGACGTCATACATGCTACAGCTTACAGTTAGTGAACACCCAAATTCGTTACTCGAGTATTTAGGGGTAACGTTGGTATTTAGGGAAGATAGTAGGGGCAAATGCGACATCTAACGAATCGTACGTTCTGCACCCAAGTTGTTGCGCAGAGTGGACCCTACATATTTTTCCTAAAGATCATTTTTGGCAATTAAACCTTCACAGTCGGTTTCTGCCTTTTACATGCTCGCAATTCTAATAAATTATCACTCGGTAATTATAACACACAAACAAAATGAACTTACTGGAGATAAAATACTAGGTTACTTAGTACTTATTGATCGTATTTCAATTTTTATTCACCTAACCATAAAAGGAAAAGAATGAATTCAATTGGTTGACGTATGTGTTTCTTTGTTGTCAAAAACTAGTAGAGTATAATATATCACGTGCAATTCAAAAATCAATAACAAAAACTTGCAAGATGGAATCGATTTAGTAATTAATCGGTTTCTGACTTTTACATGCTTTTTCTTTTACCTCTTAAATTATCACTCGGTAATTGTAACACAGAACAAAATGAACTCACTAGAGACAAAATACTATTATCACCGGAATCGCTAAGCCTAAAGATGACACGCGTCAACACCTGAATCTTCATCCTTCCTCCATCGACAGAGAGACATGTCGGAGACTCCAAGATTATCACCGGAATCGAAGACAGAGCCAGTGATATATCACTGAAGAAAAGTCGAGTCACCGGAGAGAAGAACGACCGCCGTCAGAGCCAAAAGCCAGTCAGACGATGTTGTAGAAACCATCGCTGCCAGAACTGAACCTTAAAGGAGTCTAAACGCCTATTAAAATCGGCAACGAATCTCAACTCTCATCCTCTGTGAAAGATTTTTAGAGCGGGAACAGAGGAGATAAGAGAGAGAAGACCAATTAATACTTTATTGATCGTATTTCAAATTTTATTCACCTAACCATAAAAGAACAAATTTAATTGGTTGGCGTAATGATCGTATTTCAATTTTTATGTAGTGTGGTTACTTAATACTTTATTGATCGTATTTCATTTTTATTCACCTATCCATAAAAGAAAGAGAACGAATTTAATTGGTTGGCGTATGTGTTTCTTTGTTGTCAAAAACTAGTAAAGTATATATCTCACGTCCAATTCAAAAATCAATCCTCTATAACAAAAACTTGCAACATGGAATCGATATAGTATGGTCTCAATATTTGGTCCGTGTTATGTTCCTCCTTTACACAATAGTTAATGTCCCTTGCCTTTTGGGTTTTGGCTGCTAGCTACCACACTCATTCAAATTCTTGAATAACTGACTCTGTCTCCGCCTGGACCTACACAGATAAATGTATTGAAAAAAGGGTGAACGCCTTCAATTCAATACATACCTTGAAAGGAAGCTACGTGTTCTCTATATATCTTGGGACCAGTTGTGATGGATTATGGCTAGCATTGGTAATCGGCACGTTATTTCCTCTCTCAGTGGTCTTATTGTTCTCCTGAAGAAGCCACTATGTTGGCCCTTTTTCGAGCTGCAGACAATACATTTCAAACTGAATCCTGACAAGATTCCAAGGCCAGGTGGTTAATGCAATCAACAGGTTTGTCAAACACCAATCAACTGACTTTGGTATAAATGAAAATTTGATTTTACATAGAGTAGATCAAAGAAACTGCAACACCAAGGCAAAAAAGAAATAAAAAAACATGGTGTTACAAGCAGACATAGACAAAAGAGTGGTCCATCAACAACATCAGATTTTCGGAGTGCTTCCTCTGCTTTCTAGCAGTGATTGAGTTCTTTATTTCCTTATCAATAAACTTAGAGATTGTGACAGGAATGTTGTTGCAAAAATAGAGTTTCTAAAGTTGCAAGTGTTATCAACGATTTAAGACATTTCATGCTACAAAGTGATTTCAAAGTTGTTATTAGTTAGTAGCAAGATTGAAACTACTACTTCCCAAGCTCGTTTTACCAAATCAAACAGGGAAGGTTACTGATTAAGAATTGTCAGTTAGCTTCGGAGATTGTAACTCAAGAAACAAAAAGGGTATAGATAGTCTCTGCCATATTATTACTGTATATACATTATTTTTGAGAAATTTGCCCCTATAACCATAAAAAAAAAAACACAAATACACTATCTAGCATTATTTTTATCTTCTTATCTCTCTAATCTCTCACTAAAAAACTAATTATTCTTTTTTTTTTTTGTTATTTGGCAAATAAACCCTACATTTTTATGCTCATACATATTGCCTAAGAATACATGAATACTGATTTTATTTTCAAGCATGCCTACCTGAAGCATCAATGAAACTGTATGTTCTTTTTTTTTTGCATCCTTGCCCTTTGAAAACTCTGTTTTTGCGTCTTTCGTCATACTGTCCTTAAAGTTTTAATGTATAAAATTAAATTTATTGAACAGAATGATAAATTATTGCCGCGTTTACGCTCTCTCCCGCAACTTGTTTTTTATACTGTTCTTAACTCACTATCTTCTTCACACAATGGCTTCCGCAAGATTTTGATCTCTCCTCTCCATCGTCACTCCCTCACTACGACCGATGCTTCCTCTCGCTCGCTCCCTACCAATTTCACCTGAAACGACAGTACTCAACGTCGTTTCATCTCTCCAGCAAACACAACACATCCTCTCAATCGACCCGACTCGTTCCTCACTCACTCACCACCACCACACCCGAATCCGTCCTGGCCTTCCCTCAACTTCTCCTCTCCACTCTCTCTAGCGCTTCACTCCCGACACACACTCACAGCACAAGGAGTACAGAAGACTAGTAATGAGTCGACTCGAGGGAGACTCATCCCGAGTTACCAACCCGAGGAGCTAACGACACCTGCCATCTCCGGAAGCTAGCCAAGGAAGTGGCGAGCATCAAAGCCAAGTCTTTCTCTTACTGCTTCGGTCGAGTCTCGATTTCAACTCGGCGCCGGAGACGCGACGGCTCCCCGCTTGTCCGCAACAGCGAGATCGTTACTTCTTACTACGTCGGGCTCGGTGGATTCAGCGTCGGTGGTCAGCAAGTCTCCATCTCGGCTCCGGTGTTCGCCGTGGACGCTTCGGGAACCGCCGTGACTCGGCTTCAGACTCAGGCCTATAACTCGCTGCGCGACGCGTTTGTTAAACTCAAGAAGGGGCCCGTCGAGCATCTCTTTGTTCGACACTTGCTAAGATTTATCGTCTCTCTCCACCGTGAAAGTCCCGACGGTGACGTTTCATTTCACCCCGGAACGTTTTGCTTAGCTTTTGCTCCGACGTCGTCTTCGTTGTTATTGATCATGGGGAACGTGCAGCAGCAAGGGGACACGTATCACTTAGGATCTAGCGAATCATCTTATCGGACTGTCAGCTAATAATTTAATAAATGCTAAACAAAGTTGATGATTAGTAGTTTTACAGACATCGAGTAAAACTCTCTACTTCTTGGTTCTTTAATGAAAAATAAACTATAAGTGTGAATTTCATTTTATCTCTTTTTCTTCTTCTAATTAATCTCAAGTTTGGAGAAGAAAAAAATTATTATCAGAAGTTATTGACGTACTTTATCGTTTTTTCTTGTCAACTATTTGTCGATTGTAGTCTGAGCTAGGTCTTTTTCGTTTTTGTTTAACTGGGTAAAAAATTACAAGTTTATATAGCTAAGCAGGCTGGATTACTTGCGGAAAGCAAAGGTTATGTTGAGAAAATATATTTAACTGATCTATATACAAACTACCAAAGGCTCAAAGTTTAGCATGTATCTCACATAGCATCAGTCAAAGGCGCTCGAAGCCATAAAATGTTGATATGTTTACTTTCCACTACAAGCAGTTGGTTCGAGTTTTCAACAGATGTGTTGTCTTTTGATCTACATAAGGAGTCCAGAACTTCTTGTTCCTCCATCTCCAATCTGTGAAGGCCATGAATGACAATCTTCTCAATTCCCATCACTGCTTACAAGAGCCATGTCTATATATATTATGACCCCTCGTATTGACATTGAGTTCAGGGCTAGCTTCTCGTAAGAACATGTTTGGTGCTTGTATGCGCCATACATTGGGAGAGGATCATATTCGGAGAATCCGGGTCAATAATATAAAAATGGAGTTGGAATCAATGTATGAACTTGTAAATGGTAAGTAACATAGAGAGGGAGAGAACTGACTTGTGCAGTCCTGCTAGATAAAGACACCTCTAAGCAATTTCTTTGACCATCAATTCTGCACAAACGTGGATTTGGTTCAGAATGATGAAGAGACCACATTTTATTTCAGGGAAAACTAGAACTTTTAACCATAAACTATGTGAGAATTATAAACCTCTTGCTAATCGACAGTTGAAGATTCATAGACCAGTACAGTATTGAATTGCTACAACAGTTTACATGCACAATCAGTTTTCCAGAGAGGCCACCAAATTGATGGATATGGAAGCAGTAGTTGTATAAAGAAATGTCACGGAAGATACCTTGTCAAAGGAAAACAACTGATAATGGATTCCACTTTCCAGCAGGTCCCAGCGGCGGTCAGCCAGTGAAAACGAGAATTTATTGCTCTGTGTAGGAAACTCAACCCTCTGACACAAGGATGACAAGTCAGAAACATGACATTGATGTCTTTGGAACAGTGAGAAGATGGGAGAGTTACCTCCGGATGTCCAAATTCATTTCCCATGAAGTTGTGGTAAGCACGGCCACCAATTGTAAACGTAAGAAGTCTAATCATCTGGTTTAAGCAAAGACAAGAAACGAACGTTTCAGAAACCAAGTGTAACAAAAGCATGAATAGGCACCTTATGGGGAGGAAACAAGTACAAAGTTCATTTTGCTGGATGCACTTTAACTCATTAAGAGTTAGGAATAAGAAAATATTCTTCTCTTAAAGAGCTGGATGCACTTTAGAAGTAAGAGATATAAAAGCAGTAACCCGAGAGCAAAGAAGATTTGAGGCAACAACATACTTTGGTGACAACTGAGGCCAGTAATTAAATAATAGCGTTCAGTCTCATTGTACAGGTGTTCTCATCACGAATAAGAATTATTCTAAAGTTGTGGATGTATTAGGAGGTATACCTTCTTGGTAAATTCCTCGAAAGATGAAACCTTTTGGCTCGGACCCACTGATTCCAACATGACATTCGTATAAGCGCAAGGACTTTGGTTTTGTCTGGCTTGGAGTATTTCCACTTTTATGCAGATTCAGGAGTAGGTTCCCAGAGAGCTGCATAAGCTTGCTTTCCCTCGTCCTCTGTTTAAATATCAGTGACTAAATGCTACATTATCCTGGAAATATCAACATAACAAAATAAAGATAGTAGATGCTATCATACCTGGTTGCACATATGTAGCCCAAGCAGAAACCCTTTCAAGCGGTCCATCAAGAGTATTGAAATACATACCCTGAGATCGAAGTGACGTATGAGGAACTCATCTTTGAGGGCCTTTTAAAGCCTACAGATTTAACAAAGGAACACGCTTTATATAGATAGCAGTAGCAAAGATTACAACATTTAAACTCTTTCTTCTCCATTTTATACAGAGGTAAGTGTAGCAAAGAGCTAAAGTTTCGAACTTTATAAATCTGCCGTAGAGAGATTACAACTTTGTTATAACATTTTCTAATCAAAGTTGAGATGTTTTTTTAAACCTTTCTCCGGAGAAACTGTGCGGAAGATTTGTTTAATAGACAGTCAGGGTTTAAGATAAGAGGTTTTTTGAGACAACTCAACGAGCTCACTCACCGTTTGGATTCTTTTTCCTTGATTTGAAGTTGAACCAAACCGAGAGCAATTAAAACCGGTTCAATCTTAAAACCGATTGGTTGGAACACCATGGGCTAAGAATATCAAAAGTAATACTTCTCAGTTTTGAATAAGTATTGGGCCTATTGGCGTTTGAGTTCGGATCAGGGTTTTCAGGTATTAAGGTTTTAGCCTCAATAGAATCTATTCAAGTTTTACAAATGTTTCGATTGGTTCGTTTAATAATATTTTGGACTTGTATATATTTTCTCTATTTAAGATTTATTTTAGATCTGAAATTGATTTCAAGTTTGGATAATAATTTTTTGGGATTTGGATATATTTAAAATTCAGTATCAAATTGAGTATTTGGAATGCTTATTAGATCTTGAATATTTAATTAGGTTCGATTTTTCGGAGTTCAAAAAAAAATCATGTTTTCAAGTTTTTCCGAATACATAAATTTTCACATATTAAGGCCGATTAATGCATCGAAGTATCTTTTTTTTTTGGTTCGGGTTAGATAATGAAATGCTGAGGTGTAATTTTGAAATTCAAATCAATTTTAATAATTATTTACATGTGTATAGATGAAATCTAGTTGAATTCTTGGCCCAATTTATTTGACATTAAGCAGCTGTCTTGGTCTTCTTTACTACAACCTCCAAGTTTCTTCCTGTAATTTGAAGCTCTCTTGTGTAGTAATGCATTCTGTCTATCACCATTACCAAGAACAACACAGTCCCATTTGACACACATAAGATTCAAAAGAAAGCAATCAAGCATAGATCCAAAACACAGACAAAAAAAAATGATGTATGAAATGAAATGGTGTTATTATTTATTATACCCATGAGGAAGGCTTCTAGAATTTCAAAGTAATGAATGGACTATCACTCAGTTCTTCTGTCCTACTAATCAGGCGGATATCTTGGGGGTACTTGAATAGATAGAGAGATCACAAAACTATTTTTCATGTATACATGATTCCACTGGGGACACGTAAAGAGTAAACCCATCATCGTGGATTTTTTAGGATTCTTTCACTTTTTCTTTTTATCCATACGTAGAATAAAGATGTACTAATTGTAAAACGTTACTTGTTGTGGATTAAAAAGAGTTGGAAGAATCGAATTCTTTCTTTTGCTTCGCTTTTTCTGTGAAAGTTTGGTGAGGAAAGAAACACTAAATAGTGGTTTAGGACGATTCCATATTCCTTCTTCTCCTTACCTATTTAATATTCCCATTTTCTCCATCTTTCTCGATCTATCCATCCCCTATATATTATTTGAGAAGCATTACAACATTCTTTGGTAGCCACGTGTCAGCATGAGAATGCTTCTCAAATTTACTAGAGAAAAATGTTGGTCCATATAAACATATAATATACTTTTTATTAGCCTAAACATAAAACTATTATTAATGCTATTCATTATTTCCTTAAATAAAATTTACGGAATTACCTAATATGNGAGAAGCATTACAACATTCTTTGGTAGCCACGTGTCAGCATGAGAATGCTTCTCAAATTTACTAGAGAAAAATGTTGGTCCATATAAACATATAATATACTTTTTATTAGCCTAAACATAAAACTATTATTAATGCTATTCATTATTTCCTTAAATAAAATTTACGGAATTACCTAATATGGTTACAATATATATATGATAATTAATGATTTGAATATGAAGATTTGATAAAACAAATTATAGCATCTACTATTTTTGTTAAATTTAATTATAAAAATAAATTAAAAATAACATTAACTATATAACAAAAAAATATATTTTTATATACGTTATATTTAAATTTTTTAAAAACGACTATAAATTAATAAAACATTGAAAATTTTCAATTATAATATTTTTGATTAATAGTTTAAATCTCCTATATGTTGGAGCATTACAACATTTTTTGGTAGCTACGTGTCACAATGAGAATGATTTTCATAACTCTTAGAGAAATATTTTGGTCCAACTAAACATACGTTTATTTTTATTATACCAACTATCATATTTTATTAGTAGTGTACAAAAGAAATTCTTTTATTCTTTTCTTAAATAAAAGCTACGGAATTACCTAATATGATTAACATATATATCACAATTAATGTTTATGAATAATAAATATTTGATAACAATTTTTTATACTCTTTATGTTTTATTTAATTTATATTATTAAAAGAAATTAAAAAAATCACATTAATTATATAATAAAAAATTTATATTTGTACTTATACGTTATATTTTAATTTTTTAAAAACGACCATAAATTACTTAAGATGGTAAAAATCTCACACTGAAATTTTGTGATCAATGGTAACGATTTTAGTTCAGCCAATCGTTTTTCTAATGGGTCTTAAATAGTTCATAATGATTAACTAAATGGATCACCCATAATAGAGTGTGTTTTGTTTAAAATTTTTGCATACCCAAAATCAATATGAACCATCATCCCTTTCGTTTTAATTTTTGGTATAATAAAAAAATATATGGTTGGACAAAAAAAACTAAATCCAAATAACCGAACCAAATCTAACCCAAAAATGAATACAAATTTTTAAGCAAAATTGGTTAGATATCCAAGCGAATTCGAAATTTTGGTATCTAGATAATCAAAACTGAATCGAAAAATTTCGGGTATCCGAGTGTACTCGAACCAGATTTATATTCTTAAATATATTAATTATTTTTAAATTTAACATCTAAGAATATACAAAACACATGAGATGTTTTAAAAAATTCTAAAATACTTAGAAATATGTAAAATAGTTANTTAATTATTTTTAAATTTAACATCTAAGAATATACAAAACACATGAGATGTTTTAAAAAATTCTAAAATACTTAGAAATATGTAAAATAGTTAAATGCAAATTTTTAAAATAGCCAAACGATACTCTAAATACCAAAAATATTTGAAATATTTATTGATTTTTTGTCCAAATATTTATGATAAATCAATTTTATGTTAACTTTAAGTATTTTGTCATTCATTTTTCAAATTTATGTTATATATTATTTCTACTTTTAGGTTTTGAAAAACTTAAAGTATATATGAACTTTAATCTTTTTTTATAAAAAATTAAATGGGTTATGCAAACTTAAACCCAATCTGAACCTGTAAAAATTCAAATCAAACCGCAATGATCTAAACCAAACATAATCTAACCGAACCAAATAGTACTTAAATGTCCATATTGATAACAAAATATATATTTAAATACAACATATTTTTAAAAAGCTCACTCCGCGCATGGCGCGGGTTATCATCTAGTCTGTAATTATTACGAATCACGAGTTGTGACAATGTCGTGATTCTATCCTCACTTCCAAGCAATAACACACCGAGTACATGTGATTTTATCATTGCTTTTTTGCCTTTTCAACCTCTACAATATTTTATGTATAATTCTGAATATCCTTGCTATTTTTGTATATTTCCTTAGTAAATTATGATGCACTTGTACTTGTCTATAGATAATTGTTAAAATGACTACATTTTCTGAATGACGTACGGCTAGAGAGACCACATTGCATTACATGATAAATAATGAAAACTCGTGACTTTGTAATAATTTTTTTTTTTCAGAGTGTGGAATAATATTTGATTTGTTTTCTAGTTTAGCGTGTTGTGAAGAACACGACATGACAGCCTTTCTATGTAGTTTAATACTATTGTATTCATACAAAACAAAACATAAAAAGAACTACACGTTACTTGTTGACCACACATGAATAACGCCAACATAAGTATTATTGATTCCTCAGAAGGAAAAGAACATCAAACGGAAAAAAACTATTCACACAGGTTTCTTCTACTTACAACCTCATCATCATATACGGAAAACCATATATATATTATTCAAATCCTAAAGATATGAATAATTTACAAAAATTCTGAAAAAACCAAATACTCAAAAAAAAAAAAAAAAACATAGATTGTAGATAATTTACATTGCGGATTTTTAGAATCATTCTCACTCAAGCTGTGTGAGTAAGATTCATAGCTTTTCTCAGCCTATCCAAGATCCCATTTGCTTTCCTCTGTGCCCTAGAGGTTCCTTCACGCGCAAGCCTTGTTATCGTTCCATGACTACTCTCCTCTTCTTTGATCTCCTTCCATTTTGTCCTATCACTGAAACATATAGTATGCAATATCACAATCGCATTCTCTTTGTTACGCTTACATTCACTCTCTCTAGTAATCCTCAGCAGCCAAGTAACACCTCCAAGCTCACCAAGCTCCTCCACAGCCTTCCAGTGAGTAACAAGCATCGCTAAGATAGCTAAAAGCTCGTCCACATACAACCCATCAGAGATTTTCTTACCTAAAACCCTAACAGCACCATCTTTTACAGCTCTGCTCCTGTTCTCATGAGCAATACAGAGAGTAAAGATCGCTGCGGCTACGTCCTTGATAGCTAATGGATTCCCTTCTTCTAAAAGATCGATAAGCGGTTTCAAGATTCCGGATTTGCCTATAAGTGCTTTGTTGGAGTCAAGCGCGGAGAGAGTGAAGACCGTTGCAGCTGCATTGCTTCTGGTAGCTACCGTTCCGCGTCTCAACGCATCGATCAAGAGAGGAATCACGTTAGGGTTTTCGCAGACTAGCTTCTTGTTACTGTCATCATGTATGGAAACATTCAGCAACGTTGTGATCACATCTTCTTGAAGATACTCATCTTGGTTCAAACTAGACCCGTGTAACAACAAAGGATTCACCAAGCGGTTGATTCCCTCTGAAGATTCACCGAAAAGGGCACGGAACTCGGTGCCTTTCTTGGTCAAACGTCTTAGCTCCTTCGCGGATGATTTTTGATCTTGAAGGTTAGAAGAGGAGAGTTTACTGAGCAAAGAGTTGAATATCTCACGGTCTGATCTAGTCACAGCTTTCTCCTCATCTACAAGACTAGATTGATAGTTCCTTGTCTCTAACCCAACGGTCTTGCACCATTTTGAGATCATATCACGGATTAAAAGATTGGGAGTTAAAGATGTATGAGGCAGAACTTGCTGTGTTTTGGGACATGTCCTGTTTCCTGAGCTCAACCACTTCTGTATGAATAACTTATCATATGTCTGCAAACCAAAACACATAACAAAAATAAACATTTTAACTCAATTTTCATTAATAATTCGATTTGTATGAATATTAATCCCTTCTTTTAAAATGGATGTTCAAAATTGTTTTAAAATTCAATAAAATTAATTAAGTTTATTAAATTACTATTGATTAAGAATTATAAAAACTGAAAAATATAGAAAATAATCCATTTATTGATTTAATGTCTTTTCTTAATATTTGTAAAACGCAAGAAAATCTATTTTTTTTTTGGTCAAAAACGCAAGAAAATCTATAAGCTAATGACTTTTAAAGAATAAAAAGCAGAATTATCTTCAAAATATTGTTCATTTCCATTACCAATAGATTTATTTTTATTCTTGCCGACAAAAACCTAATCAGAATGTGACGTCACTAACCTGACCAGAAGCCAACACGACAGGATCACGCATGAGCTCATTAGACAGAGGACAACGAAATTCCTCAGGACAAGACACAGTCTCTAACATCTCCAGAGAACAAGACTTCGCCATCTTCCTCATCGTCTCCTGTTTAAACGAAGACAAAGCCTCCTGCAACTGATCGATTGTCTGAACGCTCAAACCATCTTCTTCCTCCATGTTCATCAGAAGTTTCTTCATCTCACGTTTCAGTTCTTTAGCTTTAGCAATCGCCGTCGGATCCGAATCGAATACACCGGTCTTCGCCATCTCCGTCGGATCCACCGGCTTTAATTACCAAACACTTATCGGATTATGTTGATGAGATTTTTTTTGAATTAGATTCTCTCATTTGATATTTTCTTTTTTTTTGTGTGAAAGAGAGAGAGAGTAATAATAATAAATATATGAGGAGGAGAGAAGAAGGAGAAGTGTTGTAGTGTAGTGCCACTATAAAATTGTGGCCTGCACCGAATTAGAACACGTCATTTATTCATTTATTAAGTAATTAAAATTTTGAAAAATTATTAATGAGTTTTGAATAATGCAGCACGTCGCGACTAAGACCATGTTTATCGGCGTCTCTTAGAGGGGTTGTTAGCTTAATTCAGAATAAAAATAAAAGAAAAAAGCTGATTAACCGAAGGGGCGTGCCTTAATTAGGTTCTCGAAGTCACGCCTCTTAGCAGGCACGTGTCACAATTTCACTGAGCAAAGGAGCTGTGTCGTGGTTCCAGTCGTGATTTTTTTTTTCTTTCTTTCGGTCGGATCGTTTCTCTCCTCTCCAAAGACGATTTGTATGGCGATTCTCTCCTCTCCTCTGGGTGGCTCTCCACCACAGAGACCTCTCTCTCTATCGTTGACTCTCTGAGATGGCTAACAATGGCGATCTCAATGACACATCTCTGATTTGTTTTGATTTGTTGCTGTTTTTGTGTCTTTAGGTCGATTGATCAAGATGCATGGTGTCTGTCTGTAATTAGGTACGTTTTCATCCTTCTTGATTGTCGGTTTATTATGGTTTTGATATGGTTTGATCTAGGTAGATTGTTTTGTCTTTAGATGGTTTGATCTAGACATCACACAAGTTCATGGCTAGGTGATTAACACTAACTAATTGATGGGGCTTCATTATATACGAGTGTTTGAGGTTCTAGCAGTGTTGGAGTGGGATTCGAAACAGTCTTGGGTGACACAGCTGGAGAGCTTAGAAGCTCTGTTGCAGGAGGCTAAGGGGAGACTGGACCTGTACCAGTTAAAAGGATCAAGGGGTTTCAGTTTCAATTGTTTCTCTCGGCTTGTTTAATAGCACCTACGTGTAAAGCAAGAAGATTAAAGGATGGAGGTTTTTTTTGTAGCTAGTCGTCTCTCTCTCTGTTTGATATTTTTTTTTATATATTCCTAATATCTGCAGACGATATCAATGATTGTTTGAGCCTTTTTTGAAGAATATTTCTTCTGGAATTGGCATGAGATTCAGAGGGATGATGACTGCGTGTGAAAACAGTCACAAAGTAGATGAGGATTATTGTTTAGGTTAGTGTTTAGGTTATGTAATAAACAGCATTGCTTATTGATAGATTATAGTTGTGTGAGGCAATTAATATCTTTAGGTTTCTACTTATCTTTATAGTTCCGTTTCTTGTGTTTGTAGTTCAGTTTCTTGTTGTTAAGTTTATTGTTCTTGTTTAATGTAGTTCCTGTTATGAAACAATGTGCTTGTTTAATGTATCTCCTGTTCTGAAACTATGTTCTTGTTAATCTTTCTGAAATGCTAAAATGTTAGAATGCTCTTGTTCTTATTAATGCAGGTCAGACAGTACACGGGAATGCAGACAATGAATCAAGGGAATGCTCTGCTTCTTGTCTTGTAGGTGTCACCGGACTGCGCTAGATGGTGTCTTGTAGTGTTGTAGTTGTCACAAGTGTAAAATGAAATGTAGTGTTTTTTTATTTTTTGATTTGCTTATAAATTGTTGTCATAGAGAGTGTGTAAAGAAATCACACTCACCATTCTCTCTATTTTGCTTATTACAAACCATTCTCTTTCTCTATAATCTCCACGGTTCTTCTCTACATTTTCTTAAAGACATATTGATCACAAACTGTGGGTGGATCTTGTTATATATGATCACATTTGTCTCACATCCTTCTCTCCGTTCTTATTTATCACTCCTTTTCATCTCAAATCAAATTTTGTAAACAAGAATTATCGTTTATTTGGTCGAACATATATGACTAAAATTTGGACGCTATCAAGAAAACAACTAAACTTGGAAGCTGTTTTCAAATAATTATCATTTATTTTAGTAATTTTTTTAATGTTTTAATGTTTTTATTTTAAAAACTATGTTTAAAAAATATAATGTTTAACTTTGTGTTTTTAATAAAATTATGTTTAATATATATATTTTTTTTAAGAACCCTAGTTAAGACACCACCAATAAATGAATAAAATTAAAGATCTCTTAACAAAATTCCTTAACTACACTTAAGTATTAAAAAAATCACTAAGACACCCTATGTGGGTAACACCAATAAACATGCTCTAAGGTGTCAAAGTGCAGCCGACACGAATAGTCTCTCATAAACTTACATTACACGTTGTTTGTAGCTCTAATTAAACCACCATTTATCTCATTTTTTCACCAAAGAATACCAATATTCAAGCCATGAATTTAATACCTAACGTGGATAGCATGAACAAAGATGAAGATAGTTAACAAGACTATGTGAGAGTTCACATTTAATATGATCAAGCCTTTTGCTAAAATCATAGAGGGTTCAAACTTTAGTTATATTTACGCAAGAATCTAAATTTTCCTTATCGTAAAATGAATAATATAACGACTACATCATTGTAACTCGCTATTAGCTCGCCTAATAACATATTTTTATTGTTTTTTTATGAATGATTTTGTATCTAATTATTTATGAAGTTCTGTTTCCCGTTTATTTACTAAAATTACATATTCGGTTTAAAAAATGGCATATATATATAGATGTTAAAATTCCTGATAGAGCTTTCAGATTTTTATTCCCCACTATCGTTATAGATAATATATATTACAAAAGTGTGTAAATTGTATGATAGTATCAATATAGAATTGTACTAAAATTATTGAATGGAAAGACGGTGAAGGCGGCGAAGAAGTATAATAAAGATTGAAAGAAGAGTTTAGCATTTGAGAGGTGTAGAAGAAGAAGAGTCAAGCAGTGGGACCCATAGATTCATTCCAACATGGCAACATGGGAACAGCTGTCTTTCCGCGTGGATTCTATTGTACTCTTTCATCTCTCTGACACTCTCTTACACTCTATTGCTCATCTGACCCTTTTACCCCTGCTATTTTCTTTAAAGAATATTATGAAAATAGAAAAGAAACAAGATTTATTATATTTTTCGATGCGTGTTGAATGAATTAATAACGTTGACTAAGAAGGCTAAGCTCTTTCTTGCTGTTAACTTTTTCTCAAAATTCAATTTATAACATTCTATCGTGGAACAAGATGATACCATGGGTAAGCAAAATTAGAACTTCCACGAAACCCAAACAACATTTTCCACCAAACTACAAAACTGTGACAATTTTCAAAATCCTACAAATGTATCAGACCAAGTTACTTGCGACGAAAACTGAATGTTACTGATTTTATATGGTTATACGCTCTATAACCGTATAAAATCAGCTTAGCTAACCATTCAATAACCGGTAAGAAGGTGGCTGGTTGACTTCTGTGAAATGAATCAAGGTTAGAAACTTAGAATAGTGTTGTTACTGAAATTAGAAACGTGCATGAATATTTTAATTACGTATTTCAGAGGAGTGGGAACCACTAATCTCAAAACACAGAGAATCTTACAAGTGCCTAGTTGGAGTGCTGGTCATAAATCACCACTTAGCCCACGTGTCACTATCCAGTTCCCCTGTCATCTTCGTACTGTCTTTTCTTTTCCTGCTTGCGGAGCCACCTTTGCTTTTTGACATTATTGCTTTTGTTTTATTTGTGTGATAACAAAGCTCTTATCTTGAACAATGTACATGTTAATTTCCAAATATTTGCTAAAAGAGTTTATGAAGGCTTGTGTAGCTATTTGTAGAGCTAGCGATCCTATACAGTACAATTATAATTGTGGCATTATGGAATGTAAGTAGTGATGAACATGTGTATACAAAGATTGTAATATCGTCGTTATGATATAAAAAGATACGTACCGTACACATGAATATATATTTTCAAACTTCTAGATGTTTTTTATTTACGTTGCAATATATTTGTACTTTTTCTTTTTGACATATACTTGTAGCTTTACTATTCTCGAACTCCGATAGTTCCTCGCCATTGTCGGGAGAATGTTGTTATTTCGATTGAGTTTAAAATGATTGAAGATGATAAGATCTACAGTTGATTTACATATTCAATAATATAATACTAAATGCACGTAGAAATTGATGGGTATTCAACATGCATAAGTTATTATTTAAAGGAATTGACACTCACGACGAGAAGATTTAAAATCTTTTACTGGTGTAAGTGTCCATATATACTTCAAAACCCTGAGAATCTTTTAGTTTTTTTTTTTCTCTGGACGTCAGAAGGTTTTTGTCTATTTTATTTCTTACATTACAGAAAAATAGAAAGAGCATACATCGATATTAGATGACCATTGAATTTGGATGTGCTTGGAAACCAATCAAAATGTTGTAAGATAGTACAAGACAAGGCCAATAATTGAGAGAAATTCAATATAGTTGTCATACTATTATGCGTTATGTGGAACAAACATAAAGGAGGCCCATTCGACACGTGTTTTTCTTTGCCAACAACCCATATGTTTTTGTTTTGTTTCCTCTTCTTTTTACAAACAACCTATATAACTTTATGTTATCAGTTTGTTTGTTACAATATTTTTGAAATAAATTTTAATTTTTCTTTATGAATTAAATGTATCAATAAAACTTTAACATGCATGGTTCATAGAGTTGGATAAACTTACATTCGTCAATAAATATATGCATTACAAAATGGCATTCCTCTAGTTTGTATCACAGTTAAACTTAGAAATAGATACTATATTGTACGCTGTCAATTACCAATGATCATCTACACATAAATGGAATCCAGAATATCGATTATCCTTTATTAATCCATTTATGAACGAAAACGTAACAGAACAACTAAATGACTGAGGTTTGAAGTCATAGTCTTAGCAACCCAAATGATCCATAAAAGCGATATCCGTATAGTTTGGGTGATTATAAATCCCTAAATGGGATACAATAGACTTTGTGGCCCGTTTGCTTGTTGAAGCAAACCCTATGCACTAGAACTAGAGGTTCCCATACTTTGTTTAGTGAGAACCCATCTGGCTCTTTCAAGTAGCTGGGAGGCAGATTAAAAGCCCAAAACTTAATGATCAGATATTTAACTAGACTACTAGAGTATGCATGTGTATATTTCGTATATAATAAAACATGAGTCTATCTCCTCACAGACTTGTATTCCTCCACGAATTCGTATTATTATCTAGCTTCTTTTTTTTGACAAAAGGTTTAATTCTAGCTTGTTTTATTGCTCGCATATAAAAATTCTAGCTTCTAAAATGAAATATATGCGAGCTAATACAACTACTTAGTTTACATAAGAACGTTTCATACACATACATATCTAACTAACATGTTTAAATAAGGGTGAGAAGATTGCTCCTAACTATTTGAACTTTGCATATTGCATACACAGAACCGTTTTCCTATAACTATCACTTTACCTTTTTGTTAACTCTTAGCTTACCATATCATTTTATCATTATCTTAGATAACGAAAGAGTTAACAAAAAAAAAGACAGCCTATATGTTTCTTAACTATTACTAAAAGGAAATGATAATTTCAAGGTTAAATTTACTCCAAATTTAGTCATAGAACAATTAACTAGTATTTTATAGACTTTTAAGAATTGAAGTTCAATCGGTATTTACTAGTTGTTATTTTTTAAACATTGAAACTAGTTGCTTTTCTAACGAATGCATCAAAATCGAGTTTGGCTGGCTTGTATAAGTGTTGAGTGCAACTTATTTAGCATTGACTATATAATAGAAAATACTATATTTCGTTGACATAGACAAATATATGTATAATAACCATCACTCTTTCGTCTGTTTCCTAAGAGAATCATTACAATTTACAAAATAATTTAAGAAACAAATTAAATAAAGGAGAGCCAGGAAAATAGTAAAAGAAGGCGAGCCGATTCGAAGAGACAATTGGAAAAATAAAAAACGTGGAGAGGTGAGAGACCCCACAGCTTGACTGCCCCTTCTTTCATTGGGCCACTTCAAATTCTCTATCCTTCTCCAAAGGCCATTTCTTTTAGTACTATTTTATATTCCTCTTTTTTCTTCATTCGTCTTTTTCCTTTTTCTGGTCACACACATAAACCTAACGTATTCTGATTTTATGTCTTTAAGAGGTAGATAACCGAGAAAATTGTATACGTGTATTATTTATGTTCTACAGTGTATCTACATATTTTATTATGGAAATATCAGAAATGTTAACTATAGAACAAAAGATTCAGTGTCTCTATGTGGATGGTATGAAATTTCTTATGACAATGTTTACTTATTTTGACCAACTTTGTATTAACATATACTGTTCCAAATTCACACGAGGGTTGTTTATCATCCATCATATTTTGTTTAGGTTGAAAGATCACTGAAATAAATAAGAAAAATCAACTAACCCCCACACATGCATTATTACCATACTCATTATGTTTGTATTCACACCGAGTATTAAACATTTAAGATGTTCATCAAAATATATGTGCGAGCGTTAGTAATTAGCTCATCGTTTATACACCAACAAAATCAAAGATTTCAAAAGTATAATGGAAAATAAAAATGATAGCAAAACAACATTAAAAAGCGAGAATGTATCAAAGAAAAATAGTTTTACCAACGTGATATTATATCAACATGTAATATCTAATAGTTAAACGTAATATATATTAAAAATAGTAGTAGTTCTCAGCAGCGTTTGAAAATTTGACTAGCTAGGTCAATCAACATTAATTTATTATCACATTAATTAATTATCATGGAGTAGATGAGATCAATTCCGACCAAACTATATGGGAATGACTCGTTCGGCTCATGAGTCGTGATCTTTTAGACCTCCTAAAATCTTTCTTGGGAAGTATACAATTCGATTTGCAGCATCACATGATTAATTACTAATTAGTGCACAAGTTGACCATCAAAGTAGAATCATTAGTTAACTTAAAATAAAACAATCATTTCTAATTGTTATTAGCGATGGGTATGAATCGTAATAATATCCAGACATATGGGTTAGGTCAGTTGTGGCCTTGTGGGTGATAAAATGTGGTCTGAAAAAGAAAAACCGAATATTCGCAAAAAAAAAAAAAAAAAACTATAGATAAATCATAAACCTTATCTTATTCCACGTGCTCCATTTTTTATCCCACTTTCGTTCAATCTCCTCTGGCTGTTATCAGGTGTGGTCGATACTACACGACAGACCCATGCGCCTAGACCTGGACGTGACTTTTACAAGAAGTCCACATTCAATGTACTCGAGAGAACTACGTTACGTGTCCATGCCACATTGACACAATAATTAATATAATATGTTATCCTCTACATCAATCTTCATGTCTTTTCACTGAACTACATCTAGTTCTGACTCTCGTTAAGTTAAAAGTTAAAAACCTTGTCCTTGTCGCACTCGATAATTGCTTGCAAGTTGCAAAACATTTGTGATTTCTAATACGACGTTCATTTTCCGCGTATAATTCTTTTGCTTCTACGTAAAATCTGGATTATTTTTTTGGCTTTCATTTGTTTGTATTTATTTCATACGAAAAAAAATATTAAATAATGAACTATTATTCTCTAGAATCAGGGAAAATCACGAGTTAAAACATGCCACGTGGCTTTATTCGTTTAAATTATCGACTCCGCACAAATAGACGGTCACCGTCACCGACGGCGTTACCGAAACCAACGGCACGACACATGACGGTGTTAACGGCGGGAGACGAAGGCGTTAAGTTAACGGTGCGTTTAAACGAACCAAGCCACCTCGTCTGCATGTAACGATTCTTCCTCCACGGTGGAAGCGTTAGACCACGGCTCCTTAGCGACAACCTCGCCGCGTCGCACACGAGCCTTAAGATCTTCTTGAGATCTTCCCCTCTCCCGACAAAAACCGCCGGAAGTGACTGAAGCACACGCGAGTACTGTGCCGTCGGTCTAGCGATCTGAAACCGCGACGCGAAGTCTAAATCCACGATGTAACGTATGGTCGGAGATGACGTGGCGGCGGGTGTGTAAACGACGTCGATAAACTCGTGGTTTCCGGCGGTGAGGGCCCCGGAGGATTTCCATTTCGTTTTGCAAACCGCAGCATTGTGTCCGAACCGTCTTAAAACGGACATGAGCTCACGTCGCGAAACGGCACGCTGTTCTTGTTTAGATCCTTTAGACGACAGGATTTCCATTGCCTTCGCCACGTGAAAGAGCACCATGCGACCGTAGTTATCTTCTCTAAGAGAGTTCTTTAGAATCTTGGCAATGTCGTCGGCGAAGTCAGGGAGCTCGAGTTGCTCCGAGTCGGAGTCTGAGTCTGATTCCGAGTCGGTGTCACACCAGCGTGGCTCCTCGTTATTAACGTTATGGTTAGTTTCATCTTCCAAGAAGCCTTGGACTAGGTCGGAGAGACACGGGGAGTCATCGTCGAAGTCGTCGATACCGTCGCCGGTATGTTCGCTGCCGCTGCTGAAGCTGCACCCAACGAGACGAGCCCTAGCCTCGTCGGCTAGTGGGTCGGTGACACGTTTTGCTCTAGAGAAACCCATTTGTTACTAAAACCTCTTAATGTGTTTAAAAAATAAAAATAACTCTTAGAAGAAGTAGAAATCTCAGAGGAGGAAGGTTTCTTTTATAAAAGGAGTAAAGGAGAGAACAAGAAACTAAAAATGCGTGAAGAGGAATAGGGGTGTTGGGCTCCGAATATTCGAAGGGAGACTATGGTTATTTATATTAGTAGAGAATATTATTAGAAAAATAATCAAATCCGAGTAAATATTATAAGTAGACACGTAAACGGTGGGAGAAAAGCAGAACCGGAGGATATACCAGTTCTTGGTTAGTAAATTAGACGACTTTTGGGGCAAAGTGTTAGGCAAAGAATGGCATATGCCAACAGGCAAACATGTATTTAGGGTTTATACGCTTTTATATTACTATTTTTTTTTTTGTAAAAATAATTCATATGCTTAAAAATTTTTTTAACTCTTTATTTGCTATTTTGGTTTTTACAGTACTTTTTATCTAGCTATTGGCTGCTAAATTAATTGTTTTGCCTTTTTATATTATGATGTTTAAATTACTCTTGATGAATTTTGAAGCTTACTTTCACCGCATAGGATTTCATCGATTTCATGCATATTATATTGGGTTATATAATATATGCACATAATTTCTTTCTCTATTGGTGAATTGGTGAAGTATTGAGAAGTAACAGCATTGTGGCTATCTAGTTAGACAAGATTATGTGTTATAACAGTTCTAGAAAAGATGATACATCGTAAGATTTACATATGATTTAACTATTTTCTTAGTGATGTTCGTTTAACAACCGTGTACGCTAAATTTTCACGTTTCCGGAACTGATTTACTCCTTAACGATGATACTGCGTTACGTGGTTTCTCTTTGATTTGAAATCCACAAGTCGCAACGTGGTCATTACGTCCTAATAAACTCTCGACCCACAGAGAGAAAATTAATTGGATTTTCGGTTCTTTACAGTGAACAATTTTAAAACTAGAAGTCGGACCGTAATTATATTTGTGAATTACAAAATTTATGAATAAAATAAGGCTGTAGAGCTCCTGCATATAAAATTTAAAACTAAAATGTCTTCACTTTTTTCTTTTAATTTTATATGTCAAAAGAAAAATTATAAAATTAAACTGGAAGCGTCAATATTTTTTATTTGATTTACAGAGTTTGATAAAAATATTTCAAAAATCGAGAAACTGTTTTTTTTACATTTTTGCGAAAATCATCAAAATATGATTCAAAACGATTTTAAAATATATTTTTTCCGAATTGAAAGGTATATAACTTAAATATTTGTCCATGAGTTCACTGATCCATAGGTGGGGGTGTTTGTTTAGTTTTGATCGCTCGGGAATGATTTATTTGGGATTTTCATAAAATGATGTAAGATATAAAAATTAGTAAAAGGTGTAAGTGATTTAATTTTTTTGTTGAAGGACGTTTGAGCATTTGACTCATAAGCAAGGCGATAAAGAGCTCCTAATAACACATCACGTTGCCAAAATCTTAACTAAATCACGCATTCACGCGTTCATGTGGCATTTAAATATGTGATTATTGTTTGTTTATAGTATATGCTATGCTAGTTAATTTTGTCTTGCAAGCATTCATGTTAATTTGTGCGAACTTACATAATACACAGATGCATACTGACAAATAAAATATCAAGTAAAAAATACTACTTCTATTTCATTATAATTGTTATTTTAGAATTGTATACACGGATTAAGTAAATAATTAATTTTATATATTTTTTATATAAAACATAATTAATTATACACCTAACCACATTTAACTGATAAAAAATAGATTAAATAATAAAATTAATAAATTTTGTATTGAAAATTGAAAACGACATTTATTTTGTAAACGGAAAAAATCATCTGCAATAACATTTAATATGAAACAGAAGGAGTATGAAACAAATATTTATGTGGTAAATTTGAATTTTGATTAGTAAAAGCAACAACTCCATGTTCCATGCTATGCCTGATCCGATCTGACCAAAAAAGCCTCAAAATTACGAAGTATCGAGAAATTAGAAAGAATTTCAAAATTGTAGTTAGCCATTAATCTAAAGGGTTGTAATAAAATTATCAATTTTCTCTAGAAAATACAATCAGATTGGATGATATGAATGAAGAATTATCCAGACAAATGATAAATGACACGTGACAGAGAGAAAATGGGAATATGAAAATGGTAGGGTCCATACAGGTATAGAGATAGAAGATAGATGATTGAAGAGGGAAGCGTAGGGCCAGAGAGCCTTTCACCTTTGTCTCCCTATCCTGTTTCTTCATTTTAATCCATTTCTTTTGGCTCTTCATGAAAGGGAAAGGTGTATCAGCGTCTTCGTAATTTAAATTGCTATACCCTCTAATATGCGAATAATCTCGTTGAAATGGAGAACCAGTCAATTAAATCAAGTACTCGCTCTTTATTGGTGGATATTAGACGATGGTATTAGAAAACAAGCAATGTCCTAGGAGGTTAAGGAGCAAGTGACAATATATGTATATAATATTTTGTAAGAACAATAACGTGACAAGTTGTTTTAGTGTATGTTTATGATCGTTGTCCCATGCAGGTTGCGTTCCTATTGCAATAAAATATAACCTAAATTACGTATTCTATATCAATGAAATCTTATATGGGTGCCAAGAGTCAAGGGGTTATTAGTTCTTCATAAGTAATATATTCCTAATTTTCAATGCTGGTCGTTAGCATTCTGCTATTTGTAGCATAGAATATTATGGACTGGTATTTTATAATGCACACAATAAACTATTCCACACATACCTATAGGAGTCTATAAAAAGCATATTTCCTAAATCGTGTTGTTTATAGTGTACTAAAATGTACATTTGCAACAAAAAAATAAACACCTTAATCATAGAAGGAAGAATATAAATAGAAAACCATGTTCTCCAAAAACTTAATTTTAAACAAAGTCAAAAGTAGCTCTTATTCTATTTACGACAGCTCAAATAGTTAATATGTTGATAAATGCACCGATGTGTGAAGCTTCTTGCTGTTGTTACTGGTAGAGTTAATCACGTATTCAGTCATGTAAATGTTTATGTAACTCATTTGTGAAACCTAAAAAATACTGTTTACGATTGTGAGTTTACGACGATCGTAATAACTAAACTATACGATATTTGAAGCTACATTCCTGGTTTCTGAATATATGTCAAAATTATGATAATTCAGTTTAATTATTAGGTTATTAAATTGATATTTAATTGTGATGATAACTTATCAACTCCTATGAGGCCCATTTAAATTCTTAACCGTGAACTGGAATCTCATTAAATGTATTAATGGGCTTAGAAGTTCAAGGTCCAATACAAGACCAGTGGGTATCAGACTCTTATTATGCTAAAGAATCAAAGTGGGACTGTAGAGGAGCATTTTCTTTTCATCATGCGTGACGTATGGGTGGGAAAATTATTTAAGATCCGATCCAATTGTGTTATGTTCATTGTTTTAATGCAGTTTCATGCATAGTAAACAATTAAACACAACGTACATGCTTCATGCTTGGTCTATGAAGACAACAAATCTTAAACGTATGTATATTTAGATTCTGTCATCTTTTCCTTCTAATAAAACATTGTTTTACGCCATGACGTTGCTTCAAATAACTCGAATATTGCCCTCGGTTATTAACGATCTTAAACTGAACCAGAGGACGGTTTAAAGGGTAAACCATCCATCTAATCGAGAAGTCTCAAGTCTCCGTTAGAAAAGGAATGTTCTAGAAAAGGTAATGAGTACGTTTTGTAATGAAGGGTCTATTATTGTCTTTGATTTGATCAGAAGCTTTTTGAGCATCAAAGAAACATTTCAACACGTACAAATTAACAAAAGACCCGGCGATAGTTAAGGATCTTCGGCAGGGAAACAATACAAACACATTCGTCAAAAAACTAGTTTTGTTTGAAGAATTCTAAATTGTTTTGTCGACAAGTAATACTATTCCATAAGTTCAACACTTCAATTTTGTTTCCGTAATATTAGATTGTACTGTTATTAAGACATGTTTGAGTAGAGAGATTCATATCGTTTAACGTAAGCAAGTCTCTCTCATCCTACCCACTGATTCCACCGGTTACGGTCCGACACACAGAAAATTACTTATTTTTATTATTAAAACTTTATACTAAAAAATATTTAAACAACTATATAAACCCTTCATTACTGTCTTTAATGAGCTCCCCCTTCTCCTCTGTTCTCCCCTTTTCGAAAATTGCCAACTCTCTATTCTCTCTCTCTAAACTTGGTTTAATCAAATTACATTTGATTTAAGAGTTTTTTTTTTAAAACCTGAATTAAGATCTGTACACTTTGTTTTATTACAAGAGTTGAACAACTCAAATGGACAACGAGCTGTTTATGAATGCAGTAGCTTCTCACCCGTCTGAGATGACGTCACTGTCTTCTTTTACTTCACCGGCGGCGATGCTAAACTGGGATTCAATGGAGACTCCTCATCCATTGGAGGAGCAGAGTATCATCACTCGCAATGTTTCAAAGGATTGTTTTTTCTTGGAAAAGTCAACGGAACAGAGTTTTTTCGGGTCAACTCTGAGCTCACTCGTCTCTCCACCGTCGGATTCTAGCTTCTCCGGCGGAGTAGCCGGAGAGAATTACGTCATCAAAGAGCTTATAGGTAATTTGGGCAACGTCGGCGATGTCTACGGAGCTCCGGCGAATATCTCCGGCTCTTGTTACGCAACTCCGATGTTGAGCTCTCCACCGTTGGATGCATTTTCCGGCGACTCGAGATTTGCGGAGAGAGCCGCGAGGTTCTCGTGTTTGGGAAGCCGTAGTTTTAATGGCAGAAGGAACGGACTTGTTGCTGAAACAGTGTCGATCAACGGGGAGCTGACACGTGTCTCGAGCACTTCAGGTATCAAGCCTCCCGCCGGCGAATCTTCCCGGAAAAGAAAAGCTAAATCCAAGGAGAATTCTCCTTCTAAAGCTTCCCAATCTCCTAATTTATCAAAGGTTCATAATTTATATAACAGATGAAAACACATAATCAGAATGTTGTCAAAATGTTAAATTTTTTTATTTAAATGCTAATTAAAAAAAATATATGTTTTCAGAAAGTTGAAGAGAAGGAAGATTCTGATACAAAGAGAAGTAGAAAATCAGAGGAAAATGGAGAGAAAACGAAGTCTCTTGATCCATACAAAGACTTCATCCATGTCAGAGCTAGACGAGGCCAAGCCACTGATAGTCACAGTCTAGCCGAACGAGTCAGTAAAAATTATATACTTTTATTTTATTGAAATGATCATGTTCATTGATCTGCTTTTTAGTTTTAGTTATGTCCTGATTAGTTTGATTATATGTTGTTATCTCCATTTAGGTTCGAAGGGAGAAGATTAGCGAGAGAATGAAGCTGCTTCAAGATCTTGTCCCTGGTTGCAACAAGGTGAGAGTAATTTTCACTGATTGGTTTATTTGATTAATCACTAGTTAATTTGTTTTAGTCGTGGTAATGTAGTTGTTTAAATAAATTAATTGTTTTTATATAAAAAAGGTTACTGGGAAAGCACTAATGTTGGATGAAATTATAAACTATGTCCAATCATTACAACGACAGGTTGAGGTAATTCCACTAGATCATTGGTCCGCTTTAAACTCTTTCCATTATTTCATAATCACTTTTTTATATCACTACAACTTTTCTTTAATCTTTTTTATATAATTGGTTTTATTAAATGGCAGTTCTTGTCGATGAAGTTATCGTCAGTGAACACCAGGCTGGACTTTAACATGGACGCTCTTATGTCAAAGGATGTAAGTCACCGTCACAAATTAAATAACGTTGATAAAATTAATTATAATTGACAATTATTAATAACAATAATTACTTTGTTAACAAATCGTGTGTGTCTATATTTTTCTGTTGTCTGACAGATATTTCCTTCAAGCAACAATCAGCAAGTACTTCAGTTAGAATCTTCATCAGACATCTTATTGGCTGGTCATCATAGTCATACTTTACAGTTGAACCCAAATGATTCTTCCAATAACATAATGAACCCTATGGAAACTTCTGAAAGTAGAAGCTTCAATTCTCAGTTACCAACACTTAACCATTTCACAGACTCTATTTCCCAGGTCTTTAATTCCTTATGACATTTTTGTATAACACACCTGAATCCTCGTATTTTCATTTGCAACAATCATAATCCTATTTTTAATTTATTTTCAGTTCTCAACATTTTCCGAAGATGATTTACATAGCATTATTCATATGGGGTTTGCACAAAACCGTATCCGAACCAAGTTCATTCAACTAGTTTTCAAGGTTGGATAGTTAACCAACATATTTTACCCATTTCGTTTTATATGAAAGCCTATAATTTTGAGACGTGGAGTTTTGTACTATGCAGGTCCATCAAACCAAGTACCATCACACATGAAAGCAGAACTTTGATTAACCATTATTTGCATTTACATAATTGTATTGGAGTTTCGGTTAAAGGAGGTCTCAAGGATAGAAAGTAAGAAAAGGATTGATGGGTGTACATAACAAGAAGCTTGAATTGGACCACACCATTTAAGAATTCGTTTCTGTAATCATCTTCATGTATATCAAACAACATTTCTTTCCATCTTTTTTTGTGTGTCCTTGTTTTGGTTTTATGCCCTCGGTTCTCATTCGTGGGGCTCATTTGTCTTGTCACCCACTGTTATTTTTTATTTATTTTTTTTCACTGAAGATTTTGTTATATTGATAAAAAGGGGCCAAGCCCATAGACAAGAACCAAGTCCACAAACACTAAAGACCAACAAAGGCCCAAAAGCCTACGGGCAGACACAGAAACGTCAAAGCCTAATTACACCAACCCGGCCCACGGCCCAGACATTACACACCCGACACTTAAACCGAGAGACGCATCAAGGAGGCTGGACACGTGGATAAATCTGCATCGTCCGGACGTCACGCGTCACTAACGCCTCGACTTGATCGTCATCATCGCGCACAGTCGCCGGAGCACCATCATCGCCTTGACTTGATCTTCACCGCTCTATCTCATGTCGGAGAGCTTCATCGAACACACGAGATCTCATCCGATAAAACAGAGCTTCTACCATTCGAAGACAAACAAGAAACACTCCCGTTCCATATACAGAACACAAATCCTAACCACGAGATTGTAATGAAAAAACAAACAAAAGCTTAAAGCCGGCGAGGAGAAACTATGAAAGCCTTCACCTCCCGGAACCAAGAGCCGACTATGGTGAAACTGAAGGAGCTTCCACCGTGCGGAGACCAAGACCGGCGTCGACAGAACTGTAGGAGCCTCTGTCTCCCGGAGACGAAACTAAACTGAGAAAACGTCTTCACCAAATTAACACCACCGCACGACCGCGTCTTAACTCCAGAGACAGTACCACCATGGGTGAAGGCTGGTCAGAGCTCAGACAAGGCGGAAGACGGGGAGTTAGAGGAGAAGCAAAGTGCTTGCGATTTTATCTAAAGAGAGGGGGGCTCCGGCGACGGCACGAACGCACACGCGCCGGCCGTACGCCGAACCAGTTTGAGATCTACTTTCTCTCTCTACTTTCTCTGTTTTTTTCCTATTTGTCCTGAACTTCGCACTAATTCATTGAAGATTAACTGATTGATTAAAATACTAACATCCACCCACTATTATTATTATCGCATTCTTTATGCTTTTTTTCATGTTTCGGTTTACTATCATTGTAAGTCTTTTTTTTTTTTTGAACAAATACTATCATTGTAAGTCTTAACCCCACTATACTATGGCTATAATTTAATCTACTAATTTCCATCTCAAGAGCATGTTCATTGGTAGAACTCCAATGGGTATTAGTGTAGATGAGAGTTTGTCATGGAAATTCTTCATTTGAAATATTTTGAGAAATTCATGAAAACAACTCTAAACATATATCTGTTACTGATAATAATATTTTATTTTACATATATCTACATATTTATTAGCTAAAAGTTAATTAAGTAACTATATTATAAGAAAATTAGTGTTTTGATTAAATATCTTTGTGGTGAGGTTGTTCTATACCCATTACTATGAAATATTTGCATGGGACCCCAACATATAAAGGATCACTAATTTTTTACAAATGTTTATTTTATATGTTAACTTATATATACTACATCAATAATTTTTACAAAAATCATATAGTATATTAAAACAAATAAATTTAGATATATATATATATATATATATTCATTTAGTTTATTTAAATTATTTTAATGTGTAGATTTTCATATGTAATTTAAAATACAACAGAAACAAGATTATAAAAAAAAATTGGAATAGGGCCCATTAACACACAGGACCGGCTCTGGCTCTAACTATAAAAGTTAATTAAGTAACTATATTATAAGAAAATTTTCATCATTCTATAATTTTCATTATACAGTCATAACGTATCTGCCATTTTATTTAACCATAGTTATATAGAGTCTTGACGTATCCCATTAAAGAGGGATGAGAATTGAACAGACAAACTATATATTAAATGAGAAAAAGAGGAAGGGGAAGAGTGATGATGGTCATAGCCACAACGACAAGAGAGTGATTGATGTTCATAGTCAATAGAGAGGCTCTTCTCCCACGGTCATCTCAATGTAGGAGGTAATGTTGCCGGCATATATTAGCGAATATCCATCTGCAGCAAAATAAGGTCCAGCAGATTCTTGACATTGGTAAAATAACCAGCCACTTTTATCATAACCCCATCCTATAGCAGTCAAGAAATGTCCACAGACAGCCATCTCTTGCGGATATGGGGCGTAAATTTGCTATAAGAAAAGAATCGAACTATGTAAGAACAGGCGAAAAAAAAAGAAAAAAGTAAAGAACAGTGACAATGAAATATTACCTGTCCATTTGATTGGCCGTAGCTTCCAGAGTAACTCGGATATGTAAGTATACGAACAGTGACAATTTCACCATTTCTCAACATTTGCTGAATGGAATGATGAAAATTATCATAGGCTGCCTGTGCTTCCCAAGGCTCTACATCTCCTTCCAAACTTAGCAAAACGTCGGACAAGTGGTAAACATGAAACGACGCAGGATGGTATCTAGGTCGTGTGTCCTGAGAGAATGTAAAGTTAAGCAAAAGATTAAAAAAAAAATAATAATAATAATTATGTTAGATAAAATGATGACTACTTACCTGTGGATGAACTAAGGCTTTACTGAGAGGAGTCAATGGACATTCTTGCTCAAGGAGGACGCCAAAACGATACAGGTAGCGAGCACAACGATCTATGTTAAAACACCCTAGAAAAGGTTCAAGATATTTCCACGGAACTCGGTTGACCAAATCCTGAATGGAGAGATGTTTCCCGATGGGCATTTTACCCGCCTTCTTCAAACGGAATTCCAGTTGCCTCACCAGGGATATAGCCCAGCAGATTCCCAAGACTTGCCTCATAACCGGAGAGAGAAGAGGATCTTGTCTCAACGTAACCACCAGCATCTTGTTCATATCCATCCTTACAATATAACACAAAACATCAGAACTAAAATGAGATAAATGCCAACAAAATCCGATCAAATACTAAGCAAAACTTCAGATTCAAACCCAGATCCAACCACTACACACAGATCTAAAAAGATATCCTTAGAGTATGAGTTAAATGCGAACAGAATCCGACCAAATAGGAAGCAAAACTTCAGATCCAAACCAAAAAACAGATCCAACCACTACAAACAGATCTAAAGAGATTCATATTCAAAAGAAGCTGAGATATGACACGAACCTTACGAAACCGTGAGTGAAGAACAGATCGTGGGAGGGTCAGGAGTGAAGAACGGCTTTAAGATCAGATCGGCTTAAGGAGACTGTGGAGACGCTAGGGTTATTAGGGTTTTATAGACATAACATTGGCTAAGATGGGCTTACAGCTTAAGGAGGAGCGTTTCATCACAACTGAGCCAAGTCTGGTTCACTGGGCCTGAACCTTCCAAGCTGGGCAAAGAGGCATTACGATGGGATTCATGCAAGGCGTTTCACTGGGCCGCGAGATCCAGATCTCGAAATAGGCCGGCAATTCCCATAACTAACGTGCAGAGCCTTTTTCAAGTTGGGCCAAGACTCATTACGATGGGCTTCATCCAAGGCGTTTCACTGGGCCGCGAGATCCAGATCTCGAAATTTCATGAGACGCTACCAGATCTCCAGTCGGCATCTATGGGCAGAACTCGCCAGGGGCAATCTAGTATAGATCTATCTGCAGGTTGCAAGGTAAGTCGTCGACGGGCCAAAGCTGAGGCATAGCGGGTCACACATGATGGCTCTAGAAGACATCGACCACGGGTAGTAAGTGGGTTAAGACGCATGAAACAGACAAGCGGATGAGGCATCAAAGAGGAAAAAAAGGAACTGCCCAAACCACCCTCTCAGAAAGAAAGAACAAAATTTCAATCGTAACAAACTGCAAAGAAGAGAGGATAAAAAGTGAGATCTAAGACAAGTCTTTAAAGAAGAAAATATGAAGTGCAGAACAACTCTCGATGTTTCTTTATATTTAGAAAAAAGTTAGGTGAACGGTTCAATGTATTTAACTCTCCCCGGGTTTCACGCGCCTCTCAATATCTTCTTTCCTTATCTTTTATGTATTTATTATACATTTTCTTTTCTTTTTTTTTTTAATTGGCTTTCAGTATTTATTACTACATTTACATCACTTTCCAATTCCCGGATTTTACGGCTTTGCAAAAAAAAAAACGTCTGTGCTTTTTTTTTTGGTAAATTCATTAACCAACCAAAATAACACCTCTCACCTATAAAACACCTCGTGACATAAATCTCGTGATATCTCATATTTTAAGCATCTGTATTTATGATTATTATCTAGATTTCATTCTTTTTTTTCTGTGGAATTTTTAGATTTCATTCTAGCATATTGTAATTCCTCTTCTTTTTTTCTTTTTATTTAGTACAAAGAAAGATATTTTATAGATAGATATATTTTCTATATATATATATCATGTGTCTGTGTTTATAAATTTGAATTATGTAATTTTAAAATACTATAAATAGAATTATCACAATAAGTAATTGTTGACTTTATCAAAATGTCTTTCTTGAAATATATGCTAAAAAGATAGTATATTGTACTCTTTCTTTGGGTACATATAGAATTCACCGCAATCAAAAAGTTGTACTATTATCTGTTGTTTATTTTAATTTATTAGTTCTGAAAATAAAAATCTACTTATTTGACAGGTGACAACATTCGACCGCAAGTAGTCTCCACGTTAACACTACCACCGACAGCATTACTTTCCAATCAATTCTCTTAATATTTCATTTTATTTTCTTCTTTTTTTATGAACTACCGTAAAGAAAAAGTAAAACATTAGACAGCTTTTTTTATTTAAAGAGTACCAACTAGATCTAGATGCTTATCTACATGGTCAACACTTCAACACAAATGCAAATTCTTCGAGACATTTGATCTCGTATCTCTCTTTACATTTACCGGTTCACAAGATTTATTTTTATCATTTTCCTTACTAAATTTATTAAATTAGATATTAGTATTCAAAAAATAAATAATTTTTTTGTAACAAAAATTTATTATTTTTAGATTTTTATTTGTTTTTGTTTAATTAATTTACTTTTACAGATTGAAATCAGTTAAAATATTTTTTTTTTCGGGATACCGTATACTTGATAGTTACTAATCAAATCTAGTCAAATAATTATTTCAAACGAAACATTTTAGTTACGAGTAACTCTAAAACTTATGATATCCGATTTGTACACACACTTGCATATAGAACAAGGCCATTAATCTCAATGCTTTATACATATTCTTTCAGGAACTTTAGCAATGTTTGGTGCTGGAACTTTGCTACACATACTATGTGGTTTTGAATATCTTTTTCCGAGCTTTATCTGACTGTTTTTTTCCAGTATCAACAGTTGAGGAACCTCTGCTCTCTGGATGCAACAAGAGAAAACTCTTGTCTGAAGATGTGAACTCGTTCAAGAAACTAAAACTTAACATGGGTGATCATCGCAAATGCAGCCCATGACCAGCCATACCAATGCAGATGATAAATTATATATTAGTATTGCTACTCTTAAACTAAGTTTCAGACTCATGGAAGTACAATACAAATGCTAATCTAATCCCACAAGCTAGGTCGTACTCCACAGATTCAAAACATCATCAAGACCAAATCTAACACATCGTAACCTTTTTATCCTCGCACATGATTATCTGACGGTATAAAATGAGTCATTAACAGGGACACTAATCGACTAAGCAAGACGAGTGAAAGGCACCAAAAGATTATTATAGCGACTATGATATGCTTAAGTGTAGAGAAAGGGAAACACTGTACCGCACCACAATTAATGTATCTGATCCTTGCAGGTTCAGTTTGTAGACAATACCATACTGGAAGACAAAGAATCGGAGACCTAATATAGTCTCCACTATCCTCCGCTCAATGTCCGAATGTGAGACTGTAAATGTATATAGACAATTTAATATTTTGCCAAATGCTTTGAAGATGTCAAACATTGGGAACACACGAAGTGCACCAATAGCACTTCCGAACAAGGTTTTAACAACCACACAAGAGCAAAGCGTTTCAAAGACTTTAGAACGATTCAAATGCAATACAAACGAAAAAAACGAATTGAACCGAAGCCTTGGATTACTATTTCATTTTGTGGAAACATATAGATATTAAGGTGTCATTTTAAGTTAACTATAAACTTGATTGGACAACAAAGTTTTGCCATATTGTTTTTACAATGTCTTATTATAAAAAGAGCACACACGAATAAATACTTAGAATTCAAAGATCTTGGCATTGCATGACAAGTAGTTAATAACATGAGAGAGAGAGAGATTTTCTAGTCCGCAGTCATGATCGTCTTCGGTTTTCCCTCAGCAAAAGCGGACCACGCTGAAACAAATAAACAAACAAACAAATGAGTGAAAGCTTTTACCCTTTGTTTTCTCAAAAAAAAAAAAAGACATGGAAAAGAATGAAGAAGGTAAACGACGTACCATTGGGATATGTGCCAACGCTCACTTTTTTTATTGGGAGGACCTTATCAACTGCAATTTTAAAGCCTCCCACAGAACCTCCACTAAGTTTCAGAGCATTTTCAACAGCATCTTGACCATGGAGATAAACGAGAGCACACCCGCCATTATGAACAAAACAACCGGATCCAGGGAAAACCTTACTTACCATCTTCATGATATCATCCTTGCTAGCACGGGAAGTATCAAATCCTGTAACTTTCAACCTAAGTATAATCAAGAGAGATCATATTATCAACATGACAAAACAGGGATAGCGATTTGTTTATTAATAAATATGATAGATAATAATAGTTTTACCCGCGCTGTAGGTATTCGTCTGAGTCTTTGGTAGGAGCAAAGACATGGTCAAGGTGATTGTCGGCAAAAGGGTAAGCCGTAATATCTAAAATACAGCCTCCTCCCATGTCACTTCCCTGAAGCTTCAACGCCTCTGCTTCACATTCTTCATTAACATAGATTAAACCGTGACTGTAAAAGAAAAAAAAAAAGACAAAAAGAATACTATAAACTAAGCAGCAGCAGGAGAGCGATCAAGCTAGAGAAGGAGGAGGAAGCCACATAACCGGCAGAGAAAAGTTTTCTGGTAGTGTTCGAAGACAGATTCGAAGACAGAAACATGTATTAACTTTATTCCACATGATGCAAAGTATTGTCTCAGAGCCTCTTCTACATCCTCCCTAGGAGAGGAGGTGTTGTATCCCATGACCACCATCCTGCTAATAATGCTATATATTTGCAAACGATATATTAATTAATTACTGTGAGACAAGGACACATGATGTATCTAATTAGATATAAAAATCTCAAAAAAAGAGACGAACCCGCTGTATCGAATCTTTGCACCACTACCGTTCAATTTCGGAACTCCCAGACCCTAAAGTAGATAAGATTTAATCAGAGCTATGAAGAAACAACTAACTGGAGAAAAAGAAAGTGAAGAAGAACCGTTACTTTGATCACGGATTCTTCGATGGCGGCTGCCCTATATTTCTTGCCGAGTATCCTTAAGCTGTTGCAAAGGATTTAATTAATTAATTAATCACCGTGAGATAAAACAACGACAACACATGATCTATCTAATTAGAGATACAAATCTCAGAAAAAGAGAAACGAACCTCCTTTGTAGTGGAGTCTCTGCATCACTAACCTTCGATTCCAGACCCTACGTTACGTTGTTACAATCGATCTAATCAGAAAAGATCCTACGAAGAAGAAGAGACAATTCATTGAGAAATCGATAAGAAGAATTACTTTGTTCGCGGATTCGTCCATGGCTTGACTGCTGCGATAGGTTTTTCGAGAGGCGATGAAGATATTTTGTTTTCCAGATCTAGGGATTTTGGTATTTATAGTCTCATCTTGACCTCGTTTTGGGCCGTAACTATCCTTCTCGCTGGGTCTTCAGTTTAAGCTTAGGCCTGTACTAGGCCCATTCACTCATATTCCTCCTCTTTCCGTAGCAAAAACATTTTTTTTTTATTTTTTTTTTTCAAAAGAAGGGCATACCATCCCATCCCATCAATCTTTCTTGACAGTTTTCCTCGGTTCACTATGTGTTAGGGCCTAGAGATGGGCATTTCGGTTTTATTACGGGTTCGGTTTAGTTTGTTTGGGTCTAAGAAAAATTTACCCAAAGTCAATCTATATTAGTTTGGTTTATGTTCGGTTTTAGTTTGGTTTGGTTTGTGTTCGGTTTGACTTGTATTCGATTCGTTTTTAGTTTGGTTTGTGTTTTATTAGGTTTAATATGGTTTTCTTTGTATTTTTCAATTCAATCAAATTGATTTTTAAGTTTTGTTCTATTTCAATTACAAAAATATAATTTATAAAAACATTAACAAATCATCATTTGACACTAAATCATTTTTTTCTCCATATTTAAACGTAAAACCAAATATCACAATAAATATGTAGAATATGCAATCCAATAATTTTATATTATTATCTTCAAACTTAATATAAAATCATAAAAGTGTTCGGTTTTTATGTTAATATATAGATTCCTATTTTTTAGCTGTGTTTATTCTATTCATCCCCTATATATTAATCCTGGAACATTACAACATATTTTTGTAGCCACGTGTCATCACCAGAATCATTCTTAGAATCCTTAGAAAAATTAGTTGGTCCATATAAATATATACTATACTTTTTATTAAACTAACTATTAAAATAATTAATAGTGTATAAAACATATATTTTATTTCCTTAAATAAAAGCTACGGGATAACTAATATGATTACCATATATATACGCAATTAATGACTATGAATAATACATATTTTTGTGTCCTCTCTCTCTTTTATCTTATATCTTATATTTCGAATTTTTTAAATCGACCATAAATTACTAAAAATAGTAAAAGTCTCACATTAAAATTTTATGATCAATGATTTAACTTTATTTTTCCAAGAAAGATACAGTTATCATAAATCGTACAAATATGAAGTCCTATTAGTAGATATTCATTATATATATATATACTAATATCACTTAAATAAAATTATAAACTATATAAATATTTTAATTTAAAATTTCAGGGAAAATTGTTTAAAATCTTAATATATTAGCTTATCTGGGTTAAGATATAAATATACAAAATATAAAATTAAATCACTTATGGAAAGTTAATAGTAAATAAATTGAGATCAGAAAACCTAATCCCTTTATGTCATTTTATCACAACACTTAATTTATTTTTGTGCATATGAAGTTTAAAAATAATTAAAATGAGCTATACTTTATTTTTTTCAAGCAAGATACAAATTATCATAAATCGTATGGATATGAAGTCTCATTAGTAGATATTCATATTATTTATATATGTATATATATATTAATATCACTTAAAGCAAATTATATACTATATAAAATATATAAATATGTTAATTTAAAAATTTCAGGGAAAAATGTTTAAAATCTTAATATTTTATCTTGAATAGGTTAAGATATAAATATACAAGGTAGAAAACTAAATTACTTATGAAGAGTTAATAGTAAAAAAATCGAGAGCATAAAACCTAATATTCTTTTTTCATTTTATCGCAAAAATTATTTTCTTTTTGTACATATGAAGTCTTAAAAATAATTTATTTTACCTTAAGTTGAAGTACATACCTAAATCTGAACCGAAAAAAAATGTATCTGGATTCGCGCCGTTAACAAAAATATCCGATCTGGACTTATGAACTTAGTACTTTGGGTTTTTGC